GGTGTGATTGTGAACTTAATAAAATATCTGATTCCGTTGAGCTCTTTAGTCTAATTGAGAGACCTATCTAAAGAAGCTTGAGTTGTGTTTTCTTACTTATAGTCTCCTCCCAACTTGCTTCAAGAAGAATAGAAGTTTTGATGGGTTTTAAAGCCCAAACCAATCTTTGGACCCATTAAAATTTCCCAAGTGGACTATATATAGTCTCCTCCCAACAGCTCTTGTTCCGGGTAACTCATTCACACACTTTACACGTTTAGATCTTGTTTAAATTTGTATCGAAGATATGTAGACATCGTTGTGTTTTAAAATTATATAACCAAGATTCATGACTATTCCATTTACTGACACATGTGCAGACATATTAAAAAACGTCTATATATATATTCATCGTTTTAATTTAAGGTTTTGGAGTTAAAGAGACTAATGGGATTGTGATGATGTTGAAGAAGAACAAATCAAACAACTTTCGGTGTAAAAGACTAATTAATTTAGGTATTGGAAAGAGATAATGTTTTTCTTCTTCTTGATGAACTTACAAAGCAATTACTCTTGCCCACTCACAAATAAGAAAAAAAAAACAAAAAAAAGTACAAATAATAAATCATCACATTTAAAAAGAAAAAAAAAAGGTTGCCTCTTCTGTCAAACTATGAGATACGTATATGCATGAATGAAATCAATTAAATTAATTAATTACTCTTAGGATTAGGAATACAAATATTGAAAAAAAACAATTATTAGTATTCGATGGAAGCATTTCCATCTTCAGCCTCTAACTCGACCAATCTCTCGACGATAACATCCGATGCAATTGTAACAACCTCCGACAAATTCCTATATACATTAAAAAATAAAAATTGTTGAGTTAAAATCAGCAACTTAATAAACTAAAATATAAACAATGAAAGCATAAATAATAATAAAAATTTAATAGAAAATAATTAAAAATTACCCTTTGTATGAATCAAACGTGAGTCCAACGATATCTTTAGCTTCTTGAAGAGCCCATCGAAACCTTTGAATTTCATCATCAGTGCACGTTAACCTTTCGATCATAACATCAAGTTGTGAAGGTTTGATGTCGCAAAATATTGGTATGACCCTTTTCCTAGACTCCATTATAAGAGCAAGCTCGTGGAGACAAAAATAAGACTCGCAGTAGTTGGGAGAGAACACGGCTACAGCGACTTTGGAAGTGAGGATCGCGCTGTTGATATGATCAAAAAGCTTGTCTCCTGGCTTCATGTTCTTGCAATCCAAGAATGGACGTAAGTTCCTGGATTTGAGGTTGTCGTAGAGCAATGTTGCGATGTTTCTCTTCGTGTCGGCTCCTCTATGGTTGATGAACACGTCGAGCAAAGGTTTGGGTTTGACCGGTGATGAGGAAGAGAGAAGATCGAGAAATACGTTGTTGTTCAGCTGAACGGCTTGGGATTGTTTCATGAAGTTGAAAACCCTAGAGATCATGGTTTCTCTTGCGATGGATGTAATTAATTAGGTCGAAGTTGGATTAGAGATGATGAATAGGGCTTTTGAGTATCTTATGTGTTTGTGTAACTATGTATGTATATGTACATAAATATATATATAGGGTTTGATGAAGTAAAATTGTCGTGGATAAATGGGCTTGAATCAGAGAAGAAGACAAGAACATCAATAGTGGATTTTGAACAACACACAAGAAGAGGAATGTTTTAACAGACGTTGGCCGAGTCAACAACTATAGTTCGTTATACTTTTTATTATTATTTTTATATTAACATAGTTTCTCTTTAGTTACTATAAATAGTTTTGTTCAAGAAATATATTCCTAAGAGTAGGAATTTATTTCCAAGAACCAAATTCTCAGTACGATTAAGTCGCATAAACTTAAAAAAATTATAATGACTCAATAAAAAAAATTTACTAACCGTGATAAAGTTATATATATATATATATATAAAATGTATAATTATTATGTGAAGACAATATATAGAAGTAAATTTATAGAAAAAATCCAGTTAAAAAAGAAACTAAAGAGTATAATGTATGTATATGCATGCCAAATAAGAAGTAAAAATATATGTATGACTAATTTGTAGAGTACTGAATAATCTATTACTATGCATACACGGACAAGTAGGTACTATGAACTTTGGTGCATTGAACTATGTTTTTGTTAATTTAATTTGCTTACTCTAAATTAATTAAAAATTATATTTTTAAGTAAAGTATAATAGACATGTTGAATGTAAGTTATAAGAAGAATGAAGAATAAGAAAGATCGATAAAATAAAAATTATGTAGTCACTGAAATAGATTTTGACCATGTCCCGTCAAAGGAGCCAACGTTGTGCTTGAAAATTCTTTTCCTCGTGTACGAGTTAAAAGAGAAAACTTTTTTTTTTTTGTTCTTTTTGTGTGTGTGTGTGTGTGGTCTCATGACTGTTATGACAATATGATTATATTTTTCTATTTTTCAAGTCGCCAACTAGAAAGTACTATCATTCAAGAAATTAAGTCAAATTAACCAATATATATTTTGGCTAAATTCGTTTTGAATGTATTTTTTAATTTAAGTATGAGGCTCAATTGAGGTTGATGACTTGATGTAGTAAACTATACGTACGTACGTATTACGGTACAAGTAAAATTCATATTTCAGTACTGCATGCATGCGATCAAATATCACATGCTGAAATAAAATAGTAGTAATTAGTATAGTGTTGTTGAAGTGTGGTAGATTACTCATTATGTGTGTTAAGATCAGAGAACGAGAACCATCTACGATCATCATAATATATATTTAACCTATATATGTAAATGTTTTATACATTTCGATGATTAGTTAGAGTTAGACTTCCATTCTAAAATGGATCGAGCCAATGCCAAAACATGGTTAGTCATCAAATTGTACATAAGTATAATTATTTTTACCAATTATACTATCAGAAAACAAGAGAATTCCTAAAATTATAATCAGAAATCCATTAAAAAGATGGTCAAAATTTTGTTGTTTTAGCGGTAAAATTTCTGAAGCTATTAGAACTTCGTCAAAGAAAATTCTCAATATTCAATATTCCTAAAGAACATTTAGTATTTTTCATGTAATTTTTTAAACCATCCAAAAATTATATTAAATTTCATAAAAATATCCAACGGATCAAGTCATAAAATTTTGTTCGGAAAATTTCTGACGTATTATATTTGTCATAAATGTTCGATGAAATTTTATAAATCGTAAAACCGTCAAAATAATTTCATCAAAAATATACTTTTTGTAAATAGTTAGATAAAACGGATCATATATTCAGTTAAAATTATTAGTAATAAAGAAAACGGAAAATTATTAGAAATGAAGATTAATGTCTTAATGTTTTCTAACAACGTGATGATGATCATTCATAATAACCTTCTCTACATACAACATTTAGAAACAGCTAGTGGATGTAACATTTCTAGAATGTAAAGAAAATGTTTTGAGCAAACTTACATAGTTACATATACAGTCTATTCACGATTTATATATATATATATTGTAGTTGAAACTTGATCTTGAATCTTTGAAGATCACTAAATCTTGACCGAATGAAATTATTATTTTCTTAAATAACAACTTGGAATATACCAATCATATTCTTCATGAAAAAAAAAACAAAACTAACGGTCGTTTAGGTCTCAAATATAGACGGGGACTACTACTAATATAAAAGACCTCACCTTAGCTTTGGATATATATATATATATATATATATATATTTGTTTATATGTTCTCGTTTGATTATAGTTTAGCCAACAAAGGTTACAAACTTTCCACAAATACGCTGAGACAAGAAAACATTTATTTTTATTTTTTTATCATTCTCTATCCACACTACGCATGGACAGGGACAATTGAAACCGTGCTTTATTAGTTTATCATTTCGATGAAATACGTAATTTTCAAGAAGACGATTGAATGTAAGAATAGAGTCTTGTCCTTTGAATTGAAGATTAAGACAGATCGCTCGACCACAAACCAAGGGAGTACAACAAAGTATTGGGCCAGCCAAAGACAAAGACCATTATGTAATATTGATTGTGAATACAATGATCCGAGTCTGTGTATGTGATGTGAGGTTGAATTAAAGGAGAGATTTGTGGCTAAGTTCATTATTAGTTTTGCGTAAAATCTATTTATTATCATTGCTTATTTTGATATTTCTTTAGTATCAAACTAAACCATAGGACAAAAAGATAACTTTACCTACGAACAAAATCACTAGCACCATCCGTAATAAATTTTCAAAAGAAACTCTCCAAATTATGATGGTTCATATAGATAACACTGTATTAACATTATTAACATCTACTAATTAAAGTTCACGAATTAACTTTGCTGATTTGAGCTCCTACCTTGTGAGTTGTGACACAACATAATCTAGCTATGCCGATTCATCTTTCACAGCTTTGACTCGGCAGAATAGTCCATAAGGTTGGATGCAATTTAGCCGAGATAATTCCTAACCGGGAAAAACCGGAGTCCGGTTAAACCGTGCACATTTATTTACATGACCACTAAAATAAAGGGATCAGTCGTTTTAGATCTACGCATTCAATTTGACTTCATAAAGACAATGACTGTTATTTTAACTCCATTTTTTAATTTAATCTCTCTGTTAAACTTTCATTAACGTTCCTAGTTTACGTTTCTTTTGACAGAAAACAAATCGAACGATTTAAACTATCTTTCTTTAAAGAGAAATTAGTGTAATAAGAACTTTAATTATTAAGCAAGTTATATACTATGATCCCTTTAATTAACCCGTCGATAAAGCAAACGAAACCCCCACCTGCACCACGTTCAGGGTTCCTAATTAAACACTAATTTTTACATTTCCTTACTGAATCTTTAAAAACAAAAGTTTATTTTTATTTGAAAAAGCAACGAATTAGCGTTGTCTTTCTTTATAAATAAAAGAACTTTAATTCGGTCACAGTCTCTTGACATTTTCGTCTCTCTATATATATATTACTTAATCAAGATACGGATACAACTTCGAGGGAAAGATAGAGACAAATTACAAGAATTGCAATGGCTTCAAAGCTTGTGATCATCATTGTCTTCATTTTAGATCTCATTGCTGTTGGATTAGCCATTGCAGCCGAGCAAAGAAGAAGTGTCGTAAGAATCACTCCTCTCTCTCTCTCTTTTAAATTTTGTGTTGTTACTCTGTTTTAGATTTCTTGTTTTCTTGAAGTCAAATTTTGGTTATGAGATTGTGTCATCTTTATTTGGATAATATGTCGGTATCTTTGTGTGTTTTAGACTTCAAACTACTTGTGAGTTTTTTGGTTCCAAAATCTTTGTCGGTGCCATCTCTTTATCGTCGACTCTTTATCAGATCTGGTTCAAGAATCATGTTTCTTGATCATTACGGAGCTTATAACTGTATTCTAGCATTAGATTATATACCAAGATTTCGGATGAATGAATATAAATGGATCCATGTTTGGTTAATGACTTTTGAGATCTTTGTATATAAATGTAGCTTACTGCATTGTAGATCTGAGTGTAATGGGGCTGATGCTCTTTTATCTGATTTTAAGTTTCTTGGGATCTTTGTTTGTTGTTTTGCAGGGTACGGTGGTCCCGGACAAAGAGAAGGTTTTTGAGTATTGTGAGTATGGCTCAGACATAGCTACAAGTTATGGAGCTGGTGCATTTGTTCTCCTCTTCACTAGTCAAGTCATTATTATGGTGGCTAGCCGGTGTTTCTGCTGCGGCAAAGCTCTTAGCCCCGGTGGTTCAAGAGCTTGTGCTATTATGCTCTTCCTCGTTTGCTGGTAAAGCTCTATACTACTACTCATCAAACTCTCTCTATGTTCAATCATTTAGTACTGACGGCTTGATCCATCATTCGTATTGGTTTTGGACAGGGTGTTTTTCTTGATTGCTGAGATATGTTTGCTTGCGGGATCAATCAGAAACGCGTACCACACCAAGTACAGAAGGATGTGGAACATCGACAGCCCTCCTAGCTGTGAAGTGATCCGTAAAGGAGTGTTTGCTGCTGGTGCTTCCTTTGCTCTCTTCACTGCTATTGTCTCTCAGTTCTACTACATTTCCTATTCGCGTGCTCGAGATGATTACCGAAACCCAAATTACTAGTGAGATCCCACAAGAGAACCTACCCCTTTGAATGACTTTGTCCATTTATCTTCTCACTGCTCAATAGTAGGATATTAAAATTTGATGATGTTAGAGATTTGCTTCTTGCTTGTATTCGTTAAGCCTTTGAATCACATTTGCTTTTTGGTTTTCTTGTGATGTATAAAATTTTATTATATAATATAGACAGCTATTCTACTACATTCAGTATCTACGCTTTATTGTTACTTGGTAAGGTTTATACATTATATATACCTTTTAGAGCTCATAGCCTGGAAACACAGCTTGTCTTGGATCGTTCATGTCTAGAAACATGTAAGCCATTCCTCCGATACCTTCAAAGAGAGAGAAGGGTCTATCTCCTCCATGCATTTTACCTTCTGAGATGAACTTCTCTGATTTATCCATGAGGAAAGACGCGAAAGCTTTTGCTCGGTACAGATACTCTGGTTTTCCTGTTAACCGGTATAGAGAAAGAAACACGTATGTGTTTCCAGTGATACCGTGACAGATACCTGCCCGTTTAAGCAATCCACGGTTCCACACGACTTCTCCTGCCTCCATTGCTGCCTCTACGAATTCCTTTGTCTTAAAAACCTGATAAAATGCAGAAATGAGTTTTGCATTGTGGTTTTACCAATAAGAGTATTCCAATATAAAGGTTAGTACCTGAGCTGCCTTTACAAGTGTAAGAGCAACACCAGGAGCACCGTGACACCAGTGAACAAGGCGATCTGATTCACTTCCTTCACTAGATGGGTAATTTCCACTAGAAAACCGGTTTTGTATCATATAGGTCAATGTACCTTTGACATCTTGGATTTCATCTGGTTCAAGTTCCATATGCATCAGAACATTCATGATCCCGGCTAAACCATGTGCAGCACCCCAGTACTTCTTGCCGTGCCACTCATACATCAACGGACAACTTCCTCTTTTCCCGAGTTGTCTTCCTGCCCTGAAGATTTCCTCACCCACTGACCTCTGAAGTTATAAGGAAATTCAGATGGCTCAGAACGTTAACTTTTGAACTTTTCTTGAGTCAAAAACCAAAAGAAATCTAAAACTTTCTTACCATTCTTGTAGATGGTACACTCTCCTGACCAATATGCTTGTTCAAGAACAAACATGACCACAAGTATCCTGATCTACCATATAGCAACTCGTATGGCAAGTCACTAGGAAGCCTAATCTGTTAAGAATATCAAGTTTGTAACACTCAAGCAGAGTTACAACTCAAGTCATCATCTATTTGCAAAAAAGAAACTGGAATTACCTCACTGAAACAGGCTAAGTAACGATCCCGCAACTGATCATCACCGAGATGCTTTGCTGCAACAGCACCAAGAGCACATACACCAGCATGACCACATATGAATGTCACACGCCTGTTAAAAACCACACTCATCATGACCTCTTACCTAATTGCTCATATCACTTGAAAATGACTATTAAAAAGAGAGGACTTTACTCAGAATCTCTTGAAGCTACATCACAAGCCTCAACAATCTCTAAGCATAGCTTAAGATCATCTTTGTTTCTAGTCACTTGATAAGACTTGAACATGAGATAAGCCGTCCCAAGAACTCCAGTATACAGACTATAGTCTCGAACACGTTTTCCAGATCGTTCCCATGTCTCCAACACTGCCTAAAAACAAAACATTGAACTGAAATTTCAGTAGCTTTCAAACCAAATCCAATACCAAAACTTAAATCAAAGTCACCAATTTTTAAAAAAACTGCTACTCAAATTCAAAAGTGAGTTACCGTATCTTTGAGGCTTAGAGCAAGTCTATGAAGCTTCTTGGAGAATGATTTGTACGGAAGTGAGAGCAATTTCGTCAACGAATCTTTACCTCCGGAAACAGCTTCCTCATCTCCGGTGGATTCTTCCGGTACAAACTCCGGCATCTCGTTTCGGAAAAAACGTTCTCCCATCTCTCTCAGTCTCTCTCATTAAGCGGTTGCTGCAGCAGTGAGTGACACATCGTTGCATCAAAAAGCAGCTGAAAATTATAAATGGGCCTTAATATAGGCCCAATAAATCCAGCCCATAGCCTCTTTTACCTTAAAACTCTCTGCTAAAACCCTAGAGAGACGAGGTAGTAGTTTGCGTTGGTTTCACTTGTCAACGTCTCTGCGCGAACGGAAAAGCAAAAAAATGGGGAGGAAGAGGAAGCACAGCGAGACGGAAGCTCCGGCACCGGTGAAGAAGAGCGAAGAGTCTGCTCCAGAGAGACCCAAGAGAACTTTATTGGGTTGGAAAGATAAAAGCGAAGGAGAGGCGGAGAAATCTAAAGCTTTGTCTTCGTCTGTATTCAGGAATAAAGAGAAGGTTTTGGTTACTTGTTCCCGTCGGATTAGTTTCAGGTCTGAGTTGAATTTGCAAAATTTGTTTACTTTCTTTTGGTTTTGATTTCGTTTTAGGGTTTGAAATTGAATTTGTTTGGTTTTTTTTTTTGTGTGTGTTAAGGTATCGGCATCTGATGTTGAACATGGTTTCACTTCTACCGCACTGTAAGAAGGATAGCAAAGTTGAAGCTAAGAGCAGCAAAGGCGCCACTTTGAATGAGCTTATTGAGCTTAAGGGTTCTTCTTCCTGTTTGTTTTTCGAGGTAAAGGTTCCATCTTTAGTACTCACTTATCTCTAGGCCTAGATTTTGTTCCATGTACTAAAAGATAGTCAGTTTTGTTCATTTGTGTGTGGAATGTATAGCTCGACCATCAGGAGCTTGTGATTAGGAGACCGTATTCAAACTTATGTATATATTTATTTATGTAAATGGACGGCTTTTTTGAATGCATTGGTTGATTTGTGTTGTGTATATTTCCATTTTCAGTGTAGGAAACATAAAGATCTTTACTTATGGATGGTCAAATCCCCTGGTGGACCGTCTGTGAAGTTCTTGGTTAATGCTGGTAAGTCTCTAACTATCTTATAGATCTATGCACATGTTTAGCTATGATGGGATTAATTAGCATGTATCTTGTTCAATAAATGTGTTATCTTTGTGGAACCATGAATTGTTGGTAAAAGGGACATTTGTTTTCTGTTTTTTGTAGTACACACGATGGAAGAGCTGAAACTTACTGGAAATCATCTAAAAGGGTCACGTCCGCTTTTGACATTCTCATCCAATTTTGAGAAAGATGCGCACTGGAAACTCTTGAAGGAGATGCTTACTCAGGTTGTTACTAGATTCATTCTCGCGGATAAAGTTTTCGGTCCGTTAGTTCTTGATAATATTTAAGACTTTCAAATCCTAATTAGTTTGTTTTCTGTGTCCCTCAGATATTTGGAATTCCTAAGGAACACAGGAAATCTAAACCCTATCATGACCATGTATTCGTTTTCTCCATTATCGATGACCATATATGGTTCCGGAATTACCAGATATCAGTTCCTCACAATGAATCAGATAAAATTGCTAAAGGCGGCCTGGATAAAATGACCCTTATCGAGGTTTGTAGACAAAGAGTTATAACTTTGAATAGTATTTTGCCTGTGAATTCTATTGAATAAAATACTCTGTTGACAACAGGTTGGTCCAAGGTTTTGTTTAAATCCAATCAAGATATTCGGAGGCAGCTTTGGAGGACCAACACTTTATGAGAATCCATTCTATGTATCTCCAAATCAGGTATCATTGATCGATTGTCTTTATGCTTACCTGGTTCTGAGACATCGAACTTCAAATTGAATCTTAGGACATTCCTTGAGCAAATTTTAATTGTCTGTGGCTTTAGATTCGAGCTCTGGAGAAGAGAAATAAAGCCGGGAAATTTGCTAAAAAGATCAAGGCGAAGACAAGGAGAAAGATGCATGAGCTCTCAAACCCATTGGAGCCTGATGAGTTTGCAGATATGTGGAAAGATGATGAATGATCAGAGTTCAAGAAATTGTACCAGTTCACATTTCTCTTACTGTTCTTTTAGTTTTTCCCTTATCAAACAGAATCAGATTTTGTCTTACAATGATATGTTTAGGGGTTAAAGCTTTATTAATTTTGGTTTGCAACGTTAAGGGTATTTACAAAACCAAAAGTGTGCATCAAAGAACAAACAACACTTGTTTTCAATCAGTTTTCTTGTTCTTTCCATTAACTCTAATTAGCCAGAGACCAATTAGCTTCACTTAGTACCTCGCCGTGTCTATTGATCATCAAACAAGCATGCACTTAAAGATTTGCTCTACATAAACTCCCTCATTAATCAATCCAAGGCATTGCCTTAAACTTGTTTTTACTATTCCCAAAACCCAACAAACCAGTCTCAATATTATCATCAGCTTTTGACTCTTATAAACTAAACATCAGATACAACTGCTCAGGTCTCTTAAATTTGGCATGGTAAAGAAACTACAATTATAATATTATTACATAATTATTGAGAAGCGAATGCAACGAGATATTCCATGAAACGAAGAAGAAGACTAAGGGCATGTGCATCGGAGGGACCGATATAGGTCCCAAATTTTTTTTTTTCTTTTTACAGAATTAAAAAAAAAAATAATCAATCGCGGGCCGCCACGTGTCAGTGGGGCCGCGAATGAAAGAGGGACAGTCTAGTTTAAAGGAACGACCCACACAAAAATTTTTTTTTTTTTTTTTTTTTTCTAAAAAAACTGGGGGAATGGCCATGAGACCTGCCAATGCCCATGGTCTAAATCCTAAGGAATGGTTTTTCTTCGGAGCTCTCATTCGTCAGTCTTTCGAGTATTTACAAAAGGGTAAAGCTCGTACCTAAAATTACAGTTGGGATTCAAAACTCTTCCTCCTTGTTTACCATTGCAGCATCTTGGGAGCTTTGCCATTATCCAATCCAAGCACACACTGCAATTTTTAAAAGATAAATCTCGCGTACATTGCGCCATTGCGTACAATTTCATCTTCCCTAGACTTTCCTCCCCGGCCGCATACAAGTAGTCTTTTCTGTAGCGCTTTTGGTCTTTCCTACTTGCTTTCTCCTTCAGCTTATAGAGGAGAGCTTTCGTATTCTTATTGAACGACTTTATATCACCGCTCACATCTTTTGCATTGTGCAAATAGAAGACGTGCTTGTAATCGATCTTATCATAGGTATAGGTCGAAGAAAGGTCAAGAATACAGTTGTCATACCATATTTTTCTTCCTTGCATGTTCGGACATAGTCTACGAATCTGTCACATATATATACCAAAATCAAGAACTATTTACTCTATTATATAGTTATTTTTGTGCTGTCATTACCCCAGCGAAGGCGGTGTAAAGGCAAGAGCGGCACTTGGATTCAGAGATGTCTCCCCTACACTGGAACTTGGCATAGAAGGGAGTACCTTCATGTTCAAGAGTAGCGCCACTACCACCAGTACCGCTGCCAAAACCGGAAGTTAGATCATCAGCGACAACATCGAGGAAACGTTTGACATCGCTTTCATATGAACTATCCGACTTGTATGTCCCTTCACTTTTGATGCATATGTGTTGTAGATATGCATTGGTCTGGTTTAGGGACAAAACACTCTGTATGAAATGGAGTTGCATGGCCACCACTGCAAGGATAGAGACCGAAACATGGCGTTTCGATACAGAGAAACAAGACATCATGATAGAAAGAGTATGTTTTTTTATTAGAATCAAATCATGGATGAGTTGAGAGAGATGTTTATATATCAGGAGAGAGGAGTTTTTGTGATGGGAGACTTGGTATTTACGGCGAGGGGAGTGGAGGACCAATGAAAATGTCAAAGTGGAAAGGTTTGAAACTATAATAACTTTAAATAGCTTCGTAGATTGCATTATCACTTATACTAATGAAAGTGTTTATTGTTATTTGAAAATGTCGAAGGTATATTTACAAAAACAGAACAGAACATTCAAAGAGACAAACAAACTCGTGGTTTACTCAATCAGTCTTCTCCTTCTTCATCATCCTTTGCATTAACGGGAATTGGCTAGAGCCCAATTAGCTTCACTTCCTCTTCTTGGAATGCTACTGATCTTTGAACAAGCATCAACTTTAAAGTTAGCTCCACATAGAACTCCTTCACTATCAATCCTCGGCATCGCCTTCATCTTGTTCTTGGGATGCTCAAAACTCATCAAACCATTCTCACTATGAAACATACAACCTGAAAACAACATTACACAAAAAAACATTCATATTCATCTCCAAATCATACAAATTTAGGATTTTGCTCATTGTACTCAGAACTGAATCTGTTTTTTTTACTTACCAGTTGGGAAAGGAGCGAACGATTTCGCACAGCTTTGCTTAATGATCTTAACATCATCAGACATAACAACAGATCCATCTGCAGCTATTCCCCAATACAAACTCTCTTCTCCATCAGATCCCTACAAAAACATTGTCAAATTAAAAATCTCAACTTTAATCTCATAAAGATGTCAGATTTTGGTTAAAGTTTGAGTTTTTATTACCAGAGCTGCAAAAACAGAGGAGGTTTGAGTATCATAGACGACAAAAGAAAAACTTCCTTCAAGACCTCTGAGAACTTGATCAGCTGGATAAGGACCACGATCACGAAGTGTTCGGTAAGCTTCGATCACAAACATTGCTTCGTTTGAAGTTTTTCCAGACAAACCGTATTGTTTGTTCAAATGACAGAGATTGTTCAATGTTCCAAGAAACACACAGTAGATTCCATCGATTCCACAGAACACCCTGAGATTATTACCAAAAAAGAAGATTAAAGATTTGATTTTTCCGGTAAGAAAACAAGATTGTTGTGTTAGAGAAAATGTGTAATAATAACAACCTTTGATGAAGAGAGTTTTGGGAACGGACGAAAGCGAGAACGGCGGAGTCACCGAAGTTCATTGAGAAAGCAGTGTCGGGATGGTGAGAGAGGAAGTCAGAGAGAGTTTCTCCGGGAAGTTTAGGGTTTTCACCGGTGAGATTAGACGCCGGACTGTTTAGTTCTTCCGGTGGATGAGCAAACGTCTTATGAAAAATAGCCAACATTTTTCTTTTCTTTTTGTAGGTTTTGGATATTGAATGAGAAAATGTGATGTGTTTATTGATGATGATGAAGAAGAAGTGTGTCTTTTATAGGTTTTTGGAATTTTGATATATACACGAAAAGGTTGAAAAGTGAGGAACATTGACGTGGAGATGACTAAGGTTTTTGTTTGTTTGGATAAGACTTGTCTCGCAGATCTCGATGTGTTCTTTCTTTCTTATCCAATTCTTTTTTTATTGTGCTTATTGATAATTATTATGCCCGCTGTTTATGGCCAACAAGAAGAATCAATTAGTTTCATTACTGTCTCAGCATCAAAAAGTCTCCAATCCATGGATCAAATGTAATATATCTTTAATATAATGAACTAGAATTAGTAAATAATCTTGTTGATGTTGTCTATAGACAGATCTCTCTAATTAACATTTCCTTGATCGCACTATATGCCAAAAAAACACTATGCTTAATATAAATAAAGAAACCGGCAACTTAAATTTTCTATCTATACAATTCTTGATGAGCTGTTTATCTATAGTAACTCTTTCACTTTTAATCACACTGATGCTAACTTGCAAGACACTCCAAGACTCTGAAAACGTATAGAGAGACACACAACCAAATACGCTTGGAACACGCCAGGCAAACGCTTTTCCTTTCGATCTTTATTAACAAAATTTATCTTTTTCTAGGATACAATTTTGTCTCGGCTCTTACTCAATTTATTTTTCCCAATAAAATTGAACCCGACTAAAGAACGAGAACTAAGCCTATCTCTCCTACACCCGTGTAGTCCCAAGAGAAAAACAAACACTCACCTTCTCAGCTTTTCTTTTGCTAGCTTCGAAGTTTACAATCACGTACAAAGAGTCTAAAGTGTTCAAAGTGGCTCGTGGCCAACCCTATACTATTTATACTAACTACTCGAAACCCTAACCCTAGGATCTTCGAGGTTCTCACCGAAACGGAATACGCTTGCTTGTCAAGCTCATCCTTTCCTTATTTGATGTGAAGAATATTCACCATATCTTCACACGCAATTCGTCTCTATCTTTGCTGCCAAACAATAAATCTTCCTTAGCACGTCACTCCATCCACTTAAGCTTTGCCACGTCATCTCACGACTCCATGTCAGCAACTTTAAGTGTCTGATCTGATCCCAGGCGTCTGATGTGATATCAGGCGTCTGAACAGATGCAGCTTCCTGATCTTCACAGCAAGCTGTTCTGGAACTGCATTTTCAGACTCGTGGCTTCTCCACTGCATGCATGAGAATTGAGAACTGATTCCTGCTTACCCAATACCAAGGCTGCCGCCACATCCCAACCAACCAACAAAAGAACATTTACAAAGAATGTTATTTCATTTTCTATCCATATATAAATAGGTGTGGTTATTAGAAATCACATCACATGTATTTAGATAGCTTTTTCTTATTCGTTGGACTAGTGTTAAGTTGGTGCATACATTTGTAAGGAAATATGTGCTACGGAGTACTATAATATGACCAATATATGATCATTTTCTTTTCTAAACAAATGTCGTTCCTCGCTTTATATGTTATAGTTCAACCTGTTTATTCAAACACAAAGCACCGTATATAGGATGCTTAGAGAACAACGACGCATCATGATCAGCCAATAATATTTGAATAAGTCATGTTATTTCAATCCGAAGATCTTGGAGGTCAATTTGATATTGTGAAGAACAATCGCACTAAGAGGATGTTCAATGGTAACACTTTAATAGGTGTGTAAAATAATTAATTTGGTTTTTTAAAACATATTGAATGTCTAAATCCAACAAAAAAGTGCTAAATAAGACATTTTTGACAAATAAATGACTAAAATTGGATCTCAAAATCAATGAATCTACATTTTTTATTTTTAAGACACCTTCCAAAATTCACCATTGTACATGCTCTAAGGCGACCAAAATCTCCGAGTTTGCAAGAAAATAGATGGAAAAAAACTTTTAGGAGAAATCGAAGTTCAAGTATGAAGAAAACACAAGAAATCGAACACTATTAATAGAGTTTTGTGTGCGAAACTCTTAGGAAGACAATTCAGAGATTGTGGAGAGAGTTAACGGACAAAAACAAACGACACATCGTAATTTATTAATTTGGACGTATAAATTGATATTTAAATAGAATTTTAAAACTCTATTGTTTGGTCACAAACTTTTGTTTTTTTTTGTCACACACCATAATCTTTATCTTCTAATTATAGATATAACTTGTTATCATTCATATAAGAATCAAGATTCAAAAGCGATAGGAGCACCAATCTTAGCAGCAGTGGACTGAACACATGTGTTCCACATCTTCTTACTCCTAGGAAGAATCTCAATAGCATCATCTTTTAGCTCATAAGTGGAGAAGACAAAGTTCATCAGCCCTTGGTGACAATCTCTTCCGATCTTCAAAAACTCCATGCAACATTTCTCCGAGACAGGCTTGTCGTTGATCAATCCTTTCGTCATCTCGACCCCGCATTTCGAGCTCATATTATGCGAACAATCTTGGAGAAACTTGATGCGTTTTGCCGTCATGTGGTGTAAGAGTTCTTGGTCGTATTCGTAAGATGGAGATGGTCCGTATGCAAATGAAGATGTTGGAGTGATCTCATCATCTTGAGCTAGAGTTTGATAAACCATTGATGTTGCCATCAGAAACGCAATCATAACTGTTTTCTCCATTTTCTTTTTCTGTTCTTGTTCTTGTTTTTGTTCTTATGATGAATAATAAAGATTTGGTGAACTAGGCTTTTTATATTTGACTGGTTTGTAACGACTAGACTAGCTTATGTTACTGGTCATTAAAGGATGGTTTAATTAATATTGGAGTGAAACGTATAGTTTCTTAGAGGCTTGTTAAAATGAGTCTATTGGGCCAAGTATTTGAAACCCGTTAAAGCCTTTAAGCCCATAATGAGAGGAGAGTCACTGAGTTAACCAAAAACCCTAGAAAAATACTCACCGCCACTATCTTCTTCCTCCTCCTCTGCTTCTTCATCATCGTCCATTGTTCTCAAAGGGAAAAAAACAAAACTTAAAGATGGTGAAGAAGGAGAAGAAAGCGAATGTGTCGGGAAAACCAAAGCATTCGCTTGATGCGAATCGTGCAGATGGCAAAAAGAAAACCACCGAAGGCCGTACCGCCGCCACAGTTCGCCGGCTTAAGATGTATAACACTAGGCCTAAGAGAAACACCGGCGGTAAAATCCTTAGCAACGAGTACCAGTCGAAGGACTTGCCCGACTCACGTATCGCACCTGATCGAAGATGGTTTGGTTCGTATTAAGAATTCAAAATGCGTGAGAATTAGAGTTACTCAATTGGTTTCGAATTCATCTGATTTTTTTTTTCTTTTGGTGTGTTTTTTGATAGGGAACACACGTGTTGTGAATCAGAAAGAGCTTGAGTATTTTAGAGAAGAGCTTCAGACTAAGATGTCTAGTAATTATAATGTGATTTTGAAAGAGAGGAAGCTGCCTATGTCTCTTTTAACTGATAACAAGAAGGTAAAGGTTTGAACTTGGTTGAATTGAGATTGTCAAAGGTCTTGAAGTTTCAATTTTTGATTGGGTTTTCTGATTCTTTGTTTAGCAAAGGAAAGTTCACTTACTGGACATGGAGCCCTTTCAAGATGCTTTTGGAAAGAAGACAAAAAGGAAGCGGCCCAAGCTTGTGGCTTCTGATTATGAAGCCTTGGTGAAGAAGGCATCTGAGTCTCAGGGTAAATTGTGCTTCTGTGAGTTTGTTGTACCCGAAATGATTGCTCACGTGTATTCATATGAATTTTTTTTTTTCTAATTTTGAAGATGCATTTGAGGAGAAGAATGGGGAAGGTACTTTTGGCGAAGGAGGAGAAGAAGAAGACGGGTTTAGAGATCTTGTCAGGCATACTATGTTTGAGAAGGGACAGAGTAAGCGTATTTGGGGTGAGCTTTACAAAGTCATAGACTCTTCTGATGTAATTGTCCAGGTATGTCTTCATTCAGTGATCACAAGGAGTTATTTTTTAGTGGTAGTATTTCTTTGGCTGACATGTAATTTGTGACAGGTTATAGATGCTAGGGATCCACAAGGAACTAGGTGTCATCATTTAGAAAAAACGTTGAAAGAGCATCACAAGCATAAACACATGATTCTATTGTTGAACAAGGTTGGTTGTTTTCAACTTTTCCTCTTTTGGAAACTCAGCTAGCTTAAGTTGACTGTACATATTGTGTAAGTTGTTTACCATTTATATTGATATGTCTTTTGCGTGTCTGCTTTTAAGTGTGATCTTGTGCCGGCTTGGGCTACTAAAGGATGGTTGAGAGTATTATCAAAAGAATATCCAACTCTAGCATTCCATGCAAGTGTTAACAAGTCATTCGGAAAGGTACTTCATTGACTATACATCCCCTAGTGATCCTTTGATCTAGCGATTTTTTTTTTTTTGTTTTTATGTTTTATTATCAGTCTGGCATTCTCTTGATAAATATTTGCTGAATGATGGTTGGTTTCAGGGGTCACTTCTCTCTGTTTTGAGGCAGTTTGCTCGTCTAAAAAGCGACAAGCAAGCTATATCTGTGGGATTTGTTGGGTATCCCAATGTTGGGAAATCATCAGTTATCAACACACTGCGTACTAAAAATGTAAAAACTTGATTGCTAATTTCCACTATTGCAAGCCTGCATTATTGAAACCCTAATTGCCAATTTACTTTTGCTCACAAATCTTCTTCCTCTGTCTCTTCTCTAGGTTTGCAAGGTTGCTCCAATTCCAGGGGAGACAAAGGTCTGGCAATACATCACACTCACTAAGAGGATTTTCTTGATTGATTGTCCTGGAGTTGTTTACCAGAGCCGTGATACTGAGACAGATATAGTCCTCAAGGGAGTGGTATGTCTCTTGTAATATTAGTCTTCTCTTTTACGTATTACACTTTTATACTCAAATGCCTGGAAATGTTTTGCTTAACCTTACATGAAAAGTTGTCTTATTTAAACCCTTTATTAACTGCCTCTTTTGATCCGTACTCTGTTTTGTTTTATTCAAATAGTGAATTATCATACAGATTCATATTTTTTTATATATAGGTAAGAGTTACAAACTTGGAAGATGCATCTGAGCACATTGGAGAAGTACTGAGGCGTGTCAAGAAGGAGCACTTGCAGAGAGCGTACAAAATAAATGACTGGTAAGGGAAATTACACCTTCTTAATATTTTCTAAGTCATCCCTACTTTGGCGACAGAGTGATAGTTTCATGGCCCGATAATTACAGGGAGGATGATCATGATTTTCTGCTTCAGTTATGCAAATCCTCTGGAAAACTGTTAAAGGTGTGTTTCCTAAATCTTAATTGGCTAAGTAAGAGTCTAAGAGAGATAGCCTAAAGGTTTTTTCTGTTTTCGTGGCAATGAACTGGTGTAAGAATAACTAAACTTGGCAACCTTGTTCAGGGTGGAGAGCCTGATTTGATGACAGGAGCAAAGATGATACTCCATGACTGGCAAAGAGGTCGTATACCCTTCTTTGTCCCACCTCCCAAGCTAGATGCTGTTGCTCCAGAATCAGAAGCAACAGTGCCAGGCATAGATGAAGAAGCCATAGGTGATAATAGTCAAGCAGCTGCTGCATTGAAAGCCATTGCTGGAATCATGTCTACCCAACAACAGAAGGATGTTCCTGTCCAAAGAGATTTCTATGACGAGAAAGACCTCAAGGATGATAATAAAGCAAAGGAGTCAACTGAAACAGAGGGGGAAGACGGAGCTGATGGGCACGAAGATGAGGATGTGGTGTCGGAAGATGGAGTGGAAAGTGAGTCTGATGGGGATGAGGATGAAGATTCAGAGTCAGGAAATGATGTGGAAAACGAGTCGGATTCTGCCGAGTAATGTTACACCTCGCAAAATTTTGTTTCTGTTACTTGTATACGTTGTGTTTTAATTAACTCAAAGTGAGACTCTTGTCTAACACTATTTACCATTTACAAACAGTGGTTTATTAGAATGAGCTCTTATGATGCACCCAGATTTGTGGCTTAAACTTGACAAGTGGTAATAAAGGAGACAAACAACACTGAACACAACATAGTAAAGCAAAGGTTTGAGAAAGGAAGCAACAACAACAAATACAGATAACTGGACGAGCCAAGGTCCAAGGGATATCATATCACATGTACTTTTTGACGAGTTCATCCAACATATATTCACTAAATTGGGTGACTCTAGCCACTTGGACTCCGCCTTTAAAGACAATAGTGGTCGGGAGACGCGTTATGTGATAACGTGATGAGATCCCTACCTGACTGTCTATGTCGACTGTGTCGAATTTGAACTTATTCTTATATTGCCAGGCAAATTTGTTCAGTATGGGGATACTCACACGACATGGTCCGCACCAATGGGCTACGAACATAACCATTACTGGTAGTTTGGATTTGATCACAAGTGAATCCCATTCCGATTCAGTACTTCATCTATCAATACAAAAACAGAGATTTTAGAAACATGTACATTTTTATTTTTATCTTTTTGGTATTCTAGAAATAACAACTTTTTGTCGCTTTTCACAAAAGGAAAAAAAGAAACCATAACTCTAAAAACACCTATAAGCTTCCATATCAAACATGTTTTTTTTTTTAAAATATATATAGTTTAACTTAATTAGTTGGTTTCCTTTTTTATACCTTGGAAGCGTAGCACCGGAATAGACCAAGTTGTCATTCGACATCTGTGGCGATGATGAAACGTAAGTCTTGATCAAGGGATCAAACTCGGAACACATCACACCACTAATCACTAAACACATCAAGCACGTCACCGTCGCTACCAAACGGTACAAACTCCTAATTTGCTCCATACTTTGGGATCTCCCTATATGTTTGAAGTGTTCGTTGCAAAATGTTTTTCCTATGCCCTAGCTAGCTTTATAGGCGTCCGTAATTTGCATTAATTATCAACAGTTCAACTGTTCAACACCACATCCCTCCCACACAGCTGTACTCCATTCAATGCCATTTTCCTTATGGCGTTCACCTAACTGGTAACTTGAGCTAAGCAAATATAAGGATCGCAAATTAGCCACATCCTCACTCTTTAATCCTCTTATCTTGGAGTTTCCTGCCACACCATTTCAGTATGGGACCATATGGTAGATAAGGCTCGTGATCAAATTCACGGATAGCCATTATGATTATTTGATGTGACTTGGTTTTGCTGAGTGAGAACATATATAGTTCTACTAACCCTCTCATTTAATAAGTGTTCTAATGACTAACTAATCACCGAGATTGATGACACAGCTCTAAAAAGCCACAGTTGGTCAGTTGCTAATGCTTTAGCTAACCACCGTCGAAGGCGTCATTGTGTGGATATTCTTAATCTTTTTTGAGGAGGATTTAGCTGGATAAAATTAGAGTTCGTGGTGTCTGCCACAACATGGAGTAGTTATACATGTCATTATAATTGAATTCAGTTAAGTTTATAAGGGTTTCTTAAATTGCGGGTATTTATTATTGAAAGAGTTGATACCATCTCTGTTTCTCTTTCGACCTAATAGGATGGGTATTTCGTACATTACTTGAGGAAGAAAAAAACTTCAATTTTAAATGTGTACAGTACATTTGGCATGGAGTGAAAAATCCCACACGTACACATATATAAGCACGTCCAAACTGACGAAGAAGGAAAACATAGTCTTTACATACAAGCTAGGGTTTTCTCTTTTTTTTTAAGTGTGCAGTAAGTTTTACCTTCTTGAGCTGTTTCTTGTAATCTTTTTGAGAGCTTGTACGTAACCTTTTGATTTCTAGTAAAAATTTAAGATCAAGAGATCCCTCACGTACGAGACACCCCGTAATCATTTGGGGAACTCGTTAAATCTTGGTATCTTTTTACTTTGCTGTTGCTCAAGTATAAATGTATTACATAAGACCGCTATATATGATCAAAGGTTAAATTTGCCGCTGCGTACTTGACAAGTTTATATTACTAGTCCATGATTCGATCGATCACACAAGTCTTGGGCGAAAAAAATAAAATGGATAGGGCTCAATGTAAAAATTTGAAAGCAGGGATTTTATAAGTGTTCCTTAACTACATGTACCACCCCCGACACTATCAAAACGATCAACTAAAGGAGATAGCATAGTTCATTGCTCAAGGAGAATTATTATTATTTTGTGTAATAAAGGAGACAAACGAACACTCAAAAAATAGCAAATTAGGTGTGACAAAGGAAGCAACAAATATGAAATATTAGATAAACGGACAAGCCAAGGCCAAGGGAAATCACATGTACTCCTTGACGAGTTCCTCTAACTTATTTAGATCAGGTCCGATGACTTTAGTCATTGCTTCTCCGTATTTAAAGACAAAAGTGGTCGGGAGATGATTTATGTCATAACGTGATGCGATGCTTCTCTCCTGGTCAGCGTTGACTGTGTAGAATTTGAACTTATTCTTGTATTGTGAGTCCATTTCGTTCAGTTTTGGGATCAATATCACACCACATGGTATGCACCACTCAGCTGTGAACGTAACCATTACTGGGAGTTCCGATTTGAGCACAAGTGCATCCCAATCCAATTCAGTGATGCTTTCTAATTAATCTATGTGATCAATAGGAAAAAAAAAAGAAAAAAAAAATATAATTACCTTCATTTTTGTTTCTGGTATTTGTAGAAACAAAGTTTTGTCGCTTTCACAAAAACTAAATCTCTAAAAGAACACCTATAAACCCAAATCAAATTTTTTTTTTCTTTTTTAATACAAAAAACAACTCATGTTTTCGCATTGTAGTACAATAATATTAGTTGAAAGTACCTTTTTATAGTTTAACTTAGGTTTTTTTTTCTTCTTTACATACCTTTAAGCTTACCACCGGAATAAACCAAGTTGTCATTCGACAGTTGTGGTGATGATGACACGTAAGTCTTGATCAAGGGATCAAACTCTGAACACATCCCACCAGTACTAAACCTTAAACGCACCAAGCACGTCACCGTCGCTACCAAACGCTATAAAACCTTAATTTGCTCCATCGATCGATATTTTCAGATCGCCTTATAAATCTCTCAACCTGTTTGAAGTGTAGGTCGCGAAATCTTTTCCCTATGCTCTAGTTTTATAGGCGTCCATGGTTTTCATTAACTATCAACAGTTCAAGTCCACGGCCACCCTCACAGCTGTACTTACATTCATAGCCATATTCCTTATGGCGTTCACATAACTTGAGCAAACAAAATATAAGGATCGCCAATTGCCACATTGTAACTCTCCTCTTATCTTTCCTTATCTGCATGCGTGAGAGTTTCCTGCCACACCATTTCAGTAAGGGACCATATGGTGGATACGGCTCGATCGTGCTCAATTGACGGATAGCCATTATGATTATTGATGTGACTTGGTTTTGCTGAATGATAACATACTTCTAGCCATTTTATAAGTATTCTTGATCTCTCTGCAGACACGATGAAACAGCTCTATATATATATATATATATCTCATTCTCCTAACTAATAAGCGTCCTTAAACTCATTGATATTATATAAGAACATTATAACATTATAAGCCGTACGATTACACAACACATGTCTACCTGGTGTGGTGGAAATAGATGATTTCAATTACATTATACGGGTTTCCCACATTGCAGCTTATATATTACTCGTCCCTGATTCGATCTATCACACAAGTCTCCGGGAAAGAGAAAAAAACAAGGAAAAAGGCTCAATGTTAAAATTTGAAAGCAGGGATTTCGATTTTGTGGACTAGGACAGGTTTCTTTCTCGCATTAAAGATTCAATCTTTTCAACATCATCTGGTGTATCAACTCCATGAGCTTCATGATCCACCTTTATAACCTATAAACAACCAACATAGAGATCTTTAGTGCCATAAAGTTACTTCTCTCTATATTCTCTAAGGGAAGGCTCGATTCTTTGGGATGATATATCAACTGACATATGTTTCTTTTTCCTTTTGGATACTTATTATGAGGAAAAGGTTCTGTTACCTTCATTTTGTAGCCGTTCTCCAGGACTTTGAGCTGCTCGAGATCCTCTTCCTGCTGCAATGGCGTTGGTTGGAGCTCCGAATATACTTTCAGGAACTTTGAGTCAAAACTCTGAGATGAAAAACAAACAAATAAACAGCATTAGATGTTAAAAAGAAAAGTCCATTACATACATAGGATAAGAGAAACTGGCTGCTTGTTACCTGGATTCCCAGATGAAGCATGTATGGAAAATCTGGATTCACTTTACCACTCCTAAACCGCAAAAATAAAACAGTAACCAAGATGACAAAAAGATCAGCATATGAGAAAGAATAAGATTATTCCTGTAACCAATATACACAAGAAAAAAGGTAAGTAAGATTACTTGTTATAAGGAATCAAACCCCTCGAGAAATAGATAGCATAGCCACGGTTGTCAACCACACATTTAACTCGGTTGGGATCAACCCCGTCTTCAGGTTTCAATGGTGTCACGGCTGTGCTAAACACTGCATCGGGTGTTACCTAAAAACCACAACCATAGAAACACTATTCAACAACATTCAAAAGAGTTTAAATATTAGGATCGTAATTCCAGTCCAAGAGGAAACACATAAGATATCTAATTAAGCATTTTACAAGACCTGAAGTGCTTTGACCACACCGTCTATAATCTCAGGCTCAATGAGTGGTTCATCTCCTTGAATGTTCACAACAACATCATACTTCTTCTCCAGCTTTTCTAGTGCTTCGTTGCACCGCTCAGTGCCTACACATCACCCAAGTAATACTTTACTTTAGCTAGAAAACCATATTCCACAAAATAAGAAAACCAAAACATTGAAAACAACAATGTACAGACCATTTCTACAAGACTCTGAAGTCATGATGACATCGGCACCAAATCCACGACAGCACTCCGCAATCCTTTCATCATCAGTGGCTACAACTGATAAATTATAAACACCAAGAACTCAGACATCTTGTAATCTCATCAATCACAAGTTAACAATCGAATTCAAAACCAAAGGCAACTTCATAGTCTCACAGAACAGATTGTAGATACATAAAAGTAGATATTTTTATGTTTATAATATGAAATAGTAAAGATTCGGAGCCAAAAGTTACCAACGTGATCAAGCGTAGTAGCTAATTTTGACCTCTCCCAAGTCCTCTGTTCAACAACGTCAACAAAAGTGAGAAACAAAAAATTCAAACTTTGTCTAGATCCAGACTCAGAGATAACGAAAGAAGAAGTTTTTTAAACAAGTAACTTGAATCTGTGATCTATATACTTAAAAGGCATGAAATTTCCAGTAAGCTTGCCTAAGTAACTAAACCAGATCCGATGCAACGATACTGAGATTAAAACATAGAACAGAGAGATATTGAAATATAACAATGGAGGAACCTGGATCATGGGTTTGCCGAGGATTTGCACGAGAGGCTTACCCTCGAATCGAGAGGAAGCATAACGTGCGGGGATGATTCCAACGACCCGGCTCCGGAATTTCCTGGATCGACCCAGATACGCACTTGCGCCTATCGCCACTGCAATCGCAGTTCCGGCTAAGATCCCGTGTACAATCCATGTCTTCTGAGAAGATGAAGAAAACGATGATGAACACATTGCCATCACTTAGATTTAGCTCCGGTGAGTGTGAGAGAAAGAGAGAAAGAGTGAAATGTTCTGTTGACAAAGCGATGGCCGAGACAGCGAGAAAAGAACCGGTTTAGTCCGGTTTAATTAGACTTTGACCAATTTAATTCCTTACAAATATCAATTTTGCTAAATAATTTAACTTATGGAATTTAGTTGGATAACATAAGATTTGAATTTGAAACCAAACACTAAACTTAGAATCCACACAAATCCTCACTGCCTTATCCTAACCAACAAAAAATTTCCAGCTTTCATGACTAAAAATAAATAAAGCTGTTTAAATCGTTGGGTTATCACCAACATTTTGAACGTAACCTTAGGAACCTGTTTCATGTAAGAATCAACATGAGCTCATCAGAAGAAGATGTGGTTAGTCTCGTCAGCGTTCTTGGTCTCGCCGTTTTCATCGGTCTCTGCATTTTGCTCGTTGTTCTTTTTGCAACCTCAGCTATCATTCTTGTAATCTACGCCATCATCGACTGCACTCTCCGACCATTCTTAGGAACGTATCTCGACCTAGATCTCGAAATCGGAGTACAAAGAGGCCAACCTCGTGCTAGGATCGTGACTTACCACGCAATCATCCAGACCAGTCTACAGTTAACAGATTCCGAGAGAAAAGGGAAAAAGCGAGGGCTGAAACAAAGCGCGATCGAAACCCTACTTCCGAAATTGCTTGTTGGACAAGTCAACCATGAGGGCCAAGATGAGAGGTCACTAGAATCAATTGAATGCGCGATTTGTCTCAGTGGTTATGTCGTTAACGAAGAATGCAGAGTATTTCCGGTTTGCAAACATATCTATCATGCGTTTTGTATTGACGCTTGGCTTAAGAATCATCTCACATGTCCTACTTGTCGTAAAGACTTGCCAGATTCATGACAAATCCAAAACTTGGTTGTGTAAAGCTGTACATATATATTGCCTCTCTTCTTCAAGACAACATTTGCTAATGCAACCTCTCATTGATTCACCTTTTAGCATGTGGCAGGTTTAGCCAGAAACAGAACATCAAATTGTCGGTTCAATTTTTGTTCCTAAACCACTTTTCAAAACCGGGGGAAAAAGAAAGATTATTGTAATTCATAGATCAAGAATAGTAAAAAGGAAAAGGCTAAAGTTTTAGTCTCCTACTCCAATGTTAGATAGATCCACAAGGCACCACCAAGTCTCCTAATCTCGAGTCGTCTTCAACTTGGATACGTTGTTGTTACGACTACTCACTCAATCAAATCCTACTGCTGAAAAACGCATCGTCCGATATTTGCTAGAAAGTCTTTGATGCTATACCAAATGCCAACAAAACAACAATTATCACAAAAATGAAGAAAAACCTGAGGAAAGAAAGAAAAAGAAAAAACTTATCACTATTCCAAACTAAATACTACAAATGGGTTATAAGAAAAATACACACGAGACTAAGAAAGTGATAAGATTTTATGTACATATGAGAATTACTTTATTTATTTATTTATTTGGCTCACCTTGATGATCTGCTTCTCTTACGGTTAGTTGTATTGCTCTGAATCTTTGTGTTAGGGTTGCTCTCAGGTGGCTTTGGTTTCTCTGCAAGCTCCTTGACTCCTAATTTTACGAATTCATCAACCACTGTCTGCATATAGATAGCTACATCGCTCCTAAACTTCTTGGAGCCGCCCAGGCTAGTTTGTTCAAGGTCTTGGACTCCGCCTTTAACCATTGATCCAAGAGGAGCTCCATCTTTATAAGCATTGCACGCTTTCACTATGTCGTGAGACCGGACGAAGTAATGGCAACGTACAAACTCTTCAAAATGCTACACGTTCATCACAGCAACAGTTTTAACCCCAAATTTTATGAAAAGGAACAAAAGCAAAATAGTCTAATTTTTGCAAAAAGGTTTAAGTTTTTTCTCCAAAAACGAATGAAGATATGGCGATTAAAATTAAAAGTGCTGCATTCACCACTATTTTAAACCTAAGTTTCAGAAAAATCGAATTCTGGAAGAAAATATTTCAGAAAACGGATGAGAATTTGACTAATTATTTACCTTAGGTGGTTTTTTCATGCTGTAAACCATAGTCTTTAACGACAATACGAATACATTCTCACTGTAAACTGTAGAATGAGACTCGCCTGATGGAGTCCCCTTACTCCGTTCATAGCCAGGTTCGTTAAAGTATGGTTTTTGATTCAAGATGAGTGCTTGGATTGAGACAAGAAGCTGTAACATTGTGGATTCCTTTGGAAGCCATAGCTCCCTTGAGCTACCGGACCAGGTACCGAGAAGACTCAAGCATACTTTACCACAATTGTATAGATTCGGGTTGATCCTAAGCCCACCGGAATGGTAATGAACTTTCTGTCAACAACAAATTGAACTTCCAGGGTCATTACGGGTTCGAAGAAGAAAGACAGAGTAAATACTTGAGAATGTTCCTGAGGACATACTGGTGGCACTGAAGGATAGTTATCTGGGAACTGAATATCGAAAAAGAAAAGGCCGTCATGGTAAGGAGTTCCCTCGGCTCCAATAATTACAGCTCTCAAAAGATCCATTCTCGATTCACAGGCTCTAACAAATATTGCCTCTGTTTGCAAAGATAGTTTAAATTTAAAGAACAAATAGGTAAAAAAAGTTGCAAGCAATGATCTGCGTAGTGTATACACCAACCTGGCAAATCGTTCTCAAGAATCTTCCAATCTGTTTGAACCTTTTTCACCCAATTCTTTGAGTGCTGATAATATAAAAGAGAGGCAGCGGGTAAACTTACAGTTGTTGAAAATGAAAGAACAATTTAGGAAACAAACCCGGAGATAATAAACTTATCATCACCTGCTTTGTAGCTTTCCCCTTAGAAGCATAGTGATGATCTGAGAAATCATCAACGGTGTCAAATCGTTTATAATCTCGCAGAAAATCTTCCTTCAGTTTCCTAACACTTGAAGAATTCTGAACTGAAGACATAACCCCATTTCTAAAAAGGCTTGGGACCATCACTACATCAGGAGTCTGAGGCTGAACCACAGAAAACGATGCAGAAGAATAGATAGCTTGATTGTGCTGAGGTAAAAACGAACCAGAAGAATAGATAGCCTGGTTGTGCTGTGGCAAATACGAACCAGAAGGATATATAGCCTGATTCTGCTGTGGCAAAAACGAACTAGAAGAATAATCCCATGATTGAGTAACAGGAGTAGCTGCCAGAGATGAGTTTCCAGTTTCTTTCATCGATTGACTTCTAAACATGCTTCTACTTGATTTCACTGTGCCCTTACTGCCTGAATTTAAACCCCAAGGTACCATCATCTCTGCACCAGCTGGGACATTCTTAGGATCCAGAACGTCTTGAAACATTGCGTAGTCATCAACATCAATTGGTTGGTTAGCTAATGGAACATAAGGGTTATTGTGACCAAGAGGATGATGAGATTGAGCGTTGTCGTAAGAAAAGGAGTCAACTTGTATAGCTTTCCCTTTGTTCTTCTTATCAACAATATTGTTATTGTTTAGAACACCACCACCATTGCGGAATTCATAATTTTCCACATCAATCACTTCAGGAAAAGCCTACAATACGATAAAGCAGCAAACTTTACCAATCAATTACGTTTGATCAAACAAATTTAAAAAAGGAGGAAAAAAACAGAGAAAAACAAATGAAATTTACAAAACATTGACAAGAAAACTGAACATACACAAAACTTACCAACAACAAGCCAAAGCAGCAAACTTTACAATCAACTATGACTGACAAAACAAATCACAGAAACAGAGAAACAAGAGAATTTCCACAAAATCTATATGTAAGCTTTTGATTTCACACAACCTGAAACTGATCTCTTTCAAAACTTAGTAAACAGTAAGAACACAATCACAACACGGATCATCAAGAACAAGCCCCTGAATTAGACGGCAAAGAGAAACAGTAGAAGCATAGTAAACGTGAGCAAACAAAGAAACAAGATAAACCCTAAATCAAAAACACCTAGAAGATGATCATCATTCATCAGTAAAGTTCTGCACAACTGAAGTAAACAGAAGAAAAAGAAAATAAAAATCGAACCTTTCTGGGTTTACGATTCCTCGAGACTGAAGCGATCAGAGGAGGAGGAGCGATCTCCACAACGTCGGGCTCCATTGACGAAATTCCCAAAGCTTGCTAACAAAGATCGACAAAACAGTGATTTTAATAGAAAGATAGAAAAAAAAAAAAAGAGATTAAAGATTTAAGCCTCGAGATTACAGGAGAAGAGAAAAAGGTTTTATCGGGTCCTCACTTCACAATTCGCGCCGGACTATAATATCACACAACAGTGAGAGATTTAACTCAATCGCTTTGAACACTCTTTTTAAATTAATCTCTTCACAAAATCTTAATTAAAGTATTTTTTTAATTAATAAGTCAATGATCAGGGAGAGGGAGGACTAAACCAAGAAAAGGGTTCTCTGCTTCTTCTACTGACGTGGCGTAATCGACGGTACCTACAACGTTAGGAATTTTACAGCCGTTAGATATGATGATCGGGTTTATTTTATAATTTATCCAACGCTTGGGAATTTACGGATGGAATAAAAAAAAAAGGGAAGAAGAGATAAGTAAATCTTGTTAAAGAAGATTACATTAACGAAAACAAGTTTTTATTTATTTTATTTAATTCAGTGATAAATATGGACAATATTGTAACAAGAATGCCTTCACAATATTGGATGTTTTAGTAATTGACTTTTTAATTTATTTTAGTGATCAAGTTGACGTATTTAAGGAAGCATGTAAGACCATAAAAAAAATGTCAACTTTGAGATAAAAACAGAAAAGTTGAATATATCAAAAATCAGTACAATGAAATATAATTTGAGTTTCTAGTGTGTTTTAGACCAATGTGGCCTTTTTGGTTGCTCTGTTTATTACATAATGATGGTTGTGTAAATTCAGAAAAACAAATCAGCAATCTTATGCTACTATCAATCTTTAGTTCTTTCACACACTCTCAAACTTTAAAACCCTCTGATCGAAGACACAAACGATGAGCTTCGATCCATTTCGTGCAAGCGGATTCGCCGTGTTCGACAATGCACTCATCTCTTAGCTTCTTAGTATCGGGACAAGCACAACATATCCTCTTCTTTGGTTTTGTCTCCGTGGCAACCACATCTTTGTCTGGCTTGTCCAAGGAACATGCACTGTCTTGTGCTTGTGAACCACTCATCTCTGTCATCATCATATTCTCAGAATGTTACGCCAAGAAAACTCAAACCACATTCAACAACAACAATAACCAAAGAGCAACGAAACATAACAAGGTAAAACGTCAGCTTACATTTCAGATCAGGGACATTACTATATATATGAAACATTGATCGTTTGAATGCTCTTTAAGACAAATTGATAGACAACGACAACCAAGAGCAGTGATAAATTAGAAACAAGAACAAGTAGCTTTTAAGTAAAATGATAATCCTTCAAATTACTTCCTTTTTGTTACTGATTACACCAACAAGTTCAAATCCTCACATAATCTTATATCAAACAAAAGATAACACAATCAAACTTGAATGCTCTTCTAAGTTAAAAACTTACAAACTAGTGTTTAAGCCACAATGGGAAAGAGAGATAAACCTTGAAGACAAACCTTATTAATAACAAGGCAAGATCCAAAACTAAACTTACTTGGTTGTGCTAAAAAACCAAACTTTACGAGAGTTAATTACATGAATCTACTAAAAAAACACATATTTTCTCCTCAGCCACAATCAAATTAGGCAAAACCCTTAAAACCCTGAACCCCAAATCACAAAGTCTCATCCCTAACGAAACCATCTCACTTGTACCATGTCATAAGCCGATTAAGCAACACTCCAATCCGATTGAACAACCAATCAAGCAAACAAATTAGGTAATCAAAGAAAGAATCAACATACAATTCAGAAGAAGCAAAAAAAAACAAAACTGATAAATCCATCCGCATAATCATACGATTGAGAAAAAGATAAAGCGATGAAAAGGAGCTTTAGAGATTAACGAAAAAACTGACCTTTGATCGGCTTGAAGTAGAAGAGTCGCTAAACGGAGAACAAAGTAAGAATCTTGAGAGAACAACAACAAAACGCTGACAAGGAAGAAATGAGAAATAAAATGTAGAAGCTTTTTTTAACATAAGAACATTAACTAATGGGCCGAAACTGGACTAAATCAGGCCCATTTAGCTTCTTCTTTTTTTCCACAAAGTGACAAAATTAAAAACCAGATTTTGTACATAATTGTCCTCACACTTTGATTAACCGAATTTAAAAATCTCAGATTCTTCTTCTTTTACAATGAGTTGAAATGATGGATTTACCAAATATAGGATCTACATAGGAAACTGAGTGAACAAAGACATTAAAAAAAAGAAGCTGTCATTATTTTTCTAATCCTTGATTTTGTTCGATCTGATCTTGTCTGAATCTAAGCTTTTCACACATCCTCTTTCATCAAATCTGAGGATCCAAGACTATATAATATAACATTTTTGTTTTGCTTAGCTCACAAGTTTTTTTATGAAAAATCAAAAATCAAAAACATCAATCATACTTTTCTCTCCATGAATAAACAATGAAGAAACCCCAAGAAATGGCCAAAGCAATGTCTCCAAGAGCTTGTTTAGGCCATTCATAAGCAAGATCTTCAATTTTCCACTCGAACAGAACCCTCCACATAGCCATTAACACATACAGAACAACAGAGCCACCGGCGAAGAAGCTATGGAAGTCTCTGTCTTTCACGAACGAAACCATGAAGAGCACCAAACCAATTGCAAAGAGAAGCAAACCAGAGAAGGACTGAGAAATCTGTATGAGTAGCTCATCGTGTGGCGTTGATCCTTTCAGTTTGCTAGCAATCTCACTCCCTGGTCCAAAGATTGAAGCTTTCTCTGTGTAGAACATCATCAAGGTTCCACTAGTAAGCGCAATTACGGAATGGAGTATACAGATTACACGAAAGAGAGATGGATTCATGGAATTGGCTGTAGTCATAAAAGCTTTTTAACATGAAAAAAAGGAAGACACTTTTGAGTTGGAACTAAGCTTTTTTCACAAACCCATTTCTTTAAAGATCTTGAAAAGAAAGAAAAAAAAGCAGATTGTAAATCAAAAGAGTTCAAAAGTGAGCCAGATGATGAAAAGAAAAAAAAAAGAGAAGATCTTTAAAGGAGAAGAAAGGGGAAGGTTTGGTTCACGGGTTTATTGTGGAAAGAGCAAGATTGGGGAGATTTTACTAGTTTGGGAAAGCAATGAAGAAGCCATGGGAGGAGGTAAGGTAAGGTAAAGGTATGGACTTTGGCTTTTGGGTAGAGGAGAGGAGAGGAGAGAGATGATCTGATTTAGGGATTTGGACTTTGATAGATTCCATGATTTATGATTTCTTTAATACTTTTATGATTTGTTTATGTTTAATGTGGGTCACTAATTTGGACAAATCTCATAATTTTCTTTCTAGAAAAGCTAGAAAAATTCAATCCCCACGTCCCAACTAATTGAAATTAAGTATGAAATAATCAGAGAATAATTATATATAAGAAAAAAAGATTTGGGTTGCAAAATATATTATACAGTAAATGAAAATGTTGAGGTGGAGAAATAATTGAAAGATTCCAGGCAAAAATACAAAAGTAGAATAATTGAAAGTAATTTAATCTTTGTAGGGTCGAGAAGTACCCCCATCGTCATGGACAAGGTTTTTGTTTGTGGAGCTATATGTAATAATTTGTGTATATTTTATTTTGGGTTTTGGATTTGCTTCTTTTTCTTTTTTTTTGCAAATATCTTCTCTTTTATTCAAGATATTTTTGTGAATCAGGAATTTTTTTTTATTTTTAAATCCATTATTTCCCTTCGTCGACATATAGAGCAACATATAGTTACAAAATTCAATTGAATGCATACACACATTAAGAAAAGATTGTTATCTAAATATAGTTTCCTTTAGTTTTTACTTTTTAGACAAGGTTGGTGGATGATAATGGTTATAATTAGTGCAACAACACAACATGTAACTTTATCGTTGTAACCGATAACAAAACGATATCAAAACTCATATTGTATGTAACCAATCACAAAATCATATAAAGTTTTCTCTATTAGATATTTTGTAACGTTTTTATTTTTTAACATATCATAGACTATTTTTTTTATCGGTAAACTTTTGTTTGTGTATTGATTTGTGTTATCCATCTAAAAATATAATAAAAGGTTACATAAATCCTCTTTTATTAATACAGAAAATGATGATAGTTGAATAAATTAACGCCAAGTGGAAATGAGTCAATGAGTCGACAGCCGACAAAAAAAGTGTCCACCGGTTTAAATTTCTACTGGTTACAATTTCGGTTTAGCAGTTCTACGGTTTAACGTTTTAACTCTTAACCGATTCACAAAGAGCATAAAATTGTTGCGTCTACTAACTAAGATCATATAAACACGAACAATGGTCAAAGATGATGATGTATCAGTTAAATTTTAATTAGAGGGCAAAATTTTCAAAAACTCACGAGATTTGTTTCTTCTAACTACATGGAACTGTAATCAAAATAAAGAAAAAAAATAATATTGCATCCAAAATAAATCTTGCAAGAAGAAGAAAAAATTATGTGTATGTATTCTCTCTCTCTCTCTTTCTATCTCATATTTCTTCCACCGGCTGAAACTTTCCGGTGACGCCTTCTTCCACGTTGTCCCGGAGTCTTCTTCCCCGTTGTGGCTTTACTGCCAACTACTCTTCCGCGTGGCAAAGCTGGTGGCTCGGGAAGTATCCTCGAAGAAGGTCGAGGAGGAGGTTTCATGTTCATCAAAACGTCTCTATGATAAACCTATCATCAAGAGAAGAAGAAGAAAAGACTCATCATTTTTTTGTCTTTCACACACCAAACCCAACTCTTAAACCGAAACAAAACTGTAATGTTCTGCTTCCTTCTTTTACCTGCTTCACAAAGTTGCGTCTTTCACAGTCCAAGAACATATTGATGCTCCAATCAACTTTTTCTTTTATCTTGTTTCTTGCAATTGCAAAGCTTAGTTGATCTCTGGATGTAAAACGATCTACTTCGTTGAACCAAACACAAGTGAAAAGGTTTGTGATCGGTATGTGTTCTCTTATGATTGTACATCCTTCAGGAACATCTGCCAAACGATTCAAAAACATATTCAGTTGAGCTCAAAAAGAAAGAAAACTCAGAAACTTCAATATCTTCATATGCTTAAAACTCATACCACTTGTTATTGGAAGCTTGGCCTCGGTATAAGGTGTTAAACCTTCCTTCTTGTAGAACTCTATCTGGTAATCAATTGAGGCATTGTCGTATTTTCTTGCAGCTTTATTAGCCTCAGCCTCTACAAACACATCAAAACGTCGATAATGTCTCGAGATTGCTATACTAGAATTCGTTCTCCACAGAAACCTGAACATTGAGAAGACAAATAAAGTTAACAACTTTTCCCTTAACATATAATTTCAAGAGAGAGAGAGAGAGAGAGAGAGAAGTCGATCTATCTACCTTTCAAGGATTTGATATGGATCAACAACAAGCTGGAGCTTCGCATCAACCCATATAGAGTACCGGACATTTGGGACTAATCTATGCAACAAAAGCTTCGGAATCTGTAAAAATGCAAAAACGTTTAACCCAGCTCATATTTTTTAACACACAGAAACATTCAAATCTTGGCTATTCATTCACAAATCTTTTAACCTTTCCATTACGCCGTGCATCAGTATAAGGGACATTATGTACAACAATGATCCTCCACAATCCCACTCTCTTGTTATCGTCTGTATAACTCGACGTGTTCTTAAGGTATAAATGTGTTTCTTCATCAACAAACATGTAGAATGGGATGTTCTTCCTCGCTATTTCACTGATGTTCACTGGTTCTTGTATTATGTCATACTTCCCTGAGAAAAGAGATTGAATCTTTGTAAGAAAGCAAGGATATTTAAAAAATAGATGTCACACAGGAAGTTTGTCTTCTAAGCAGTTTACCAAATATAGCTGACGCAACAATCACGTCATGGAACTGGTCCAACTCATGAAGGATATCCTCCTCGATGTCAAAACCAGTTTGATGACCCGGTTTTGTTCCTTTAACAAATCTGCAGAAACAAAAACAGGAATCAGAAAAGTAAAGCTCGATGGCTGAAGAAGAAACCACAGAGTTAAGACCAGAAGCTTACCCGCAATGCACTGTCATGGACTCTTTTATGTCAAAGGAGTTAGTCCTATGCTCAAGAGAAGGATAACCTCCAAAATCAGAGCCTCCTTGACTTTCTTCACGTTTTACAGGATTCTCGTCATGAATATACGTCAAATTCTTGAGCACAGGAGATTCAAATGGAAGCTTTGGCATATGCGCTAAGGCCTCTTCTGGAGGTAAATAGCATACGGGACACGCTGAACAAATACAAATGCAGAAGGTAAACGCAAGTTCTTGCAGGATCAAAGCAAAAACTAATGAATGGAAGAAAGAGCTTACGCCGTGGCCCAGGCCTTCTCATTCCAGGTGGAGGGGGAGGAGGAAATGAAAAACTATCGCACGGATGGTGATGTGATGAAGGTAGTGACGGAGGAGGATGGTTGGCGTCTACATCACTTCCTCCAATGCCGTTCCACAGAAAAGAATCTCTAATATGATCATCATCATTAGAGGTCTTTGTATAGAAAGAAGTCAATTCTCTACTTACTGGAGTTTGGTTGCTTCCAAAATCCATCGTCCCAATACTCTGATGAATATTTGGACTATTGCTCTCTGTTGTATCACAAAGGCAGCAGGCATTACCAACAGATTCCAATAACTAATCAAAACCATTCTATATTGAAGAGACATAAAAAAAAAAAACATGAGAAAAAAACCTTTGTTGATAGTGTAGGAACCCAAGACAAAGACAACAAAAGCAAGGCTGAGAAGGAGCAGCATTGCAACTCGTCGACGACCTAAGTACCAGCAACATAAGAAGGAGAGAGACCTTTCCTTCTCTTTAGAATTCGAAGTGAGCATTGCGAAGAAACAACAAGACAAAGGCTCAAAAGGTCAAGGTTTGAGTAAGTGCAATGAGCCATCACTCTGAAATCCAAAAGACATTACAGTCATTGTCTCTTAAACCCTCTTCTAGATCGAACTCTCATATCGACACTTTCTCAGATCCACCCCCAACAAAATTACAAACCTAAGAAACATAACCAAAACCACGATTCATTGCCATATACATTACAGAACAAGAACAACAACAGAATCAATTCGACAAAAAAAGGTATGAAATTTACCAGCACAAGAATCGATTTTGATTCGAATCCGATTGTAAAATCCTAAAATCAATAACAGAGACCTGCATTGGCATCAAATAAAAAAAAAAGAATCAAACTTTAAATCATCACATCTCTCGATCCAATCCAAAGTTTATAACACTCGTTGGCAAGTACCCAATCACATCATAAGCGAATCGTAAATTGAACAGTACCAACAACAAATCTAAATCTAGAGACCCCTGATACCAAAAAAAAGGAGTAATTTTTGCATAAGATACCTACAGATTCGGGGGAAAAAGATATTACCTTTAGAATGAATACTGTATCGTTTTCCAAAATTCGTATCTGGGATTTACAAAAGAATCAATGATTAGTTTTTTTTTGTGTGTGATTGCGTCGCCAAATTTTTTACACTGATCCCTTCGATCTGGGGGTAAAAACATTTAGTGCATGTTTTGGATTTGTCAACGATTCAGTGTATGTATTTTTCTCTACGTTACTTTTGAGGGTTGATTATTAAAAAAATATAAATCATTATGATTTTAATATATTATTACACTGGATATGTGTTTGTGTGTTGATGTCTTAACTCTACTACGCTGAATTTGATCGTTTTCTTCGATTTCGTTCCCTATAAAGGTAGATTTACGATATGTTAACATTTTTTCATATTTATCGTATTTAAAATCAATTAATGGTGATCTTATGTTAAAAATAGTACTAATAAATAATAACTTTATTTGATTCAATACATAATTTTTATATATTTGCTAAAGAAAAATAATAATGTGCATTGTAGTCACACATCTAAAGAAAATGTGTTATCATGGGTAAGATTATGAGTTTTGTAAAAATAATTTTTTAGGAAAAAACCTTATAAGAATTTTTTTTTTCAACATGAATAAATTGAAAGTTATGACACTATAAAAAAAAATACTCTCGTTAGAAAGAGCGAGTTGTGAGCTGAAATGCTCATATGGAAAAGAGGCAATCGCGGATTTCTGCTTTCTTGACAAGATATTCGGCTCGTGTATTAGATAGATGGAAAAAATCAAATGTGAAATGAAGGAAACAGAGCGTGGGAAAACTTGAAAAAAGTTTAATTCTGCAGGGAAAAAAGGACAATCCGAAAGGTTTACAAGCATATCTACAAGATTTATATAATCAGCAGCAGAGCTAATACATGTTTACCCAATTCGACTTATACAGCCTATTGCCCATAGCAGAACGTCTAACTCGAAGGTCTTCCAGCAGGATCCGATCTCTTCACCGATGTCGATGTAAATCTAGTGTTTCTGTTTTTGGTACTGTTGGGTCTCTTTGTAAGATTGCAAGGTCTCTTTGTAAGATTAAATCGTTTAACTCGGTGTCGGCCTTGGTAGGGAAACTAGTTACATTTTTATAGACTTATCAAAAGATATTAAAATCATCACTATGTATACATATGCATCTGCTTTAATATGTTGTTATGTTCGTTTCGTCGGTTCCCCAACCATTTTGTTCCTTCTAGAAACATAACACCCGAAAATACAAAATACACATAAAATTGAACTTTGAACCAACAAAGTTTTTTTCAAAAGATCAAATAGTTTAACTAGTACAACAATGATATGATGATCATTCGTATCGTATGGGTTGGTGTATGAACGAAATGATAATACGTTGGTACATGTAAAACATATAATTATAGTAGCCGTACTCAGAACAGTTTCTATAAGAAGTGAATGGGGCCAAAACTGTTTTATTGTCTAAAATGAAGATGACAAAGTCCATTAAATTCGAATGTAACTTGTAAGCATATAATGTGGATAAACACTCTTCTCCAATTATTAGGCAAATGAACTTATATATATATATAGATATGATGCTGACGATTTAATTGTTTTCCATATATCCTCATACTAATCAGTTTCTCATATAAAACTATATTATCATTACAATTTTGATATCAGTAATGGGAACATTAATACTCGTATAATTGTAGTATTGAAATAAGATTTTAGTATTGTTTTTTTTTAATGCGGTGTAAACTACAATTAGTTGACCATTCATCCAATTATTGTATTTTTATTCTAAATTAGAAAATTGTGTATAAAAATCAGGTAGGTAGCAAAATAGAAATGACTTGGTGACTAAAAATTTGCAACATAATTTTACTTCATTTAAACTATAACGTCCATATATTAAAATCTAGCTTCAAATTCATTAGGGGTGAGAATATGGAAATTAAATTACACAAACGAAAAAGAAAAAAATAAAGAAGCGAAAACGAAAAGTCTTTTGACGTTTTACCTTCATGAATGAAACCTTTCAATACTCTCATTTGCATCAACATGCAAGCTTACGCGCTTTAAAATATAACTAAAACTATATTCTAAAAAGATTCACACTTTAATTGTTTATTCCATCAAGACTAAGATTTTAGTTTCAATTTAACATATAGAAAAAAAATAAAAATAACACTTGTCCTTTCTTTTACTGCGATATATGTAAAAATAGCTTGTCCAAAGAGTATAATAGAAATTTCACAAAAAATTGTATTTTTTGCATACTAAAAGTTTTAAATCGTTATGATAATTTATGTACAATGTTTTTAATTTAGTGATAATTTTGAGATTTATTATATTTATCACGAGCTCTTATATGAATTTTAATCTTCATTACTTTCAATGAGCTGAGAAATAAATCGAGAGGATGGATTTGAATTTGATATATAAATATATGATTAATTAAGATTAAAGCTTAAGAGTGATTAAGAGCGCGTGTTTTAAACGGATCGCATCAAGAATGTCTTTTCGTATAAACTTTAAATTATCGTCTTCTCACACACAAAAAAGTATATAGTAGTATTAAATAAGTTATTTAACTGTACAAAACAATTAAAAAAGTGAATTTTTTTCACACTACCGAACGTATTTATTATTATTTTATTTCTCAAAGAAAAAAAATCACATAATGTTTCTTTTTGGAATTTGCAAATTTTTGACAAAAGTTTTAATTCATTTCAACCTTCTTCTGCTTCAAAACACATGCGTCTCTCTGAAATCTCTCTCCGACCTAGATCCATCTCTCTCTCTTTCTCTCTCAAGCAAACACTGTTAAACCCTTTTGATTTCTCCTGAGATATGTCTTCACACGAAAGCTCCATTTTTTTCCCTCTGTTTATTGATTAGTCTCTGCAAATTACTCAATTTCACATTTTGCTTCTGCTGTTTTTACTCTTCTCTCTCTCTTCAAAGGTACTTGCTTTATGCACAAAAGTTGGGAATCCTGGGTTTTTGTAGGGAACTAGACTCCTAATTATTAATGCCTGAACTGTCTTCTTGATCTGGGCACATTTTGCAATTTGAGGAAAAATCATTTCTTTCTTTTTCTGGGTTACAGTGTTCTCCGGGTTCTAGGGTTCCTTTGCTTTTGTTTCCCCTTTTTTGTCTGGGTTGTGAAAGTCTCGGACTTTTATATGTTTGATGGACTAGTTCTTTCATGTGGTCCACTTAATTAGGTAGTGGAACGAGATGGATGAGTTGTAAAGGAGGTTTTTTGGTTCCAAGTAATCAAATTTTGGGGTAAATTGAGAGATGGGTTGTGTTTGTGGTAAGCCTTCTGCTATCGAAGATAGCAAAGATAGTCCAAGAGAGCGTTTCTCGAGCAAATCCTCTTCTGAGTTTAGAGTTTCAAGACCGGTTGCTTCTTCTAGAAGAGAAGAGACTCTTAGGATTAAGGAACGGCCTGATGTTGTTAGTGTAAGACCAGTGTTGAGTAATAAGCAAGCCAATGTTTCGATGAATTTGCGTGGGGAGAATTTGAGCAGAAGAGAGAAGAAGATTGAGAATGTTGCTGCAACTTCACCCCTTGCTATGAGTATTACCATTGCTAAAGCAACTGAAGGAGAGTATGTAGCTGCTGGTTGGCCTCCATGGCTCGCTTCTGTAGCTGGAGAAGCTATTAGGGGATGGGTTCCACGGCGTGCGGATTCTTTCGAGAAGTTGGACAAAGTAATCTTCTTTCCTTCATTTGAAAAATGCAGTTAATTTGGATTGCCTGACTTACTTATAGTGGCATGTTTCCTTATTTAGAAACATATCCTAAGCTCCAGAGATTTGGGTTGCACTAAATGGCCCTTCATGTTATGGAAACTATTGTTTTTTCAGTTGATTGGTTTTTATAACTATAGCATGGCCTTGATAAGGTTTTGGAGTTATAGCTAGCTGTGAGGAAAGTTCTCTGATGCTGAGGTTTTTACTTGCTTATGCAGATTGGTCAGGGTACTTATAGTAATGTATATAGAGCTCGTGATCTGGATCGAAAGAAAATTGTGGCTTTGAAGAAAGTTAGGTTTGATAACTTGGAGCCAGAAAGCGTGCGTTTTATGGCAAGAGAGATCCAGATATTACGCCGTCTTGACCATCCTAATATCATAAAGTTAGAAGGCTTAGTTACATCAAGAATGTCTTGCAGCTTATATCTTGTTTTCGAGTACATGGAACATGATCTAGCTGGACTTGCCTCACATCCTGCGATTAAATTTTCTGAATCACAGGTACTTTTTATGTTTCTGTTCAACATCTTCTTGACATAGTTCACCGCTTGAATTGCAATTTCTGAGGTTGGGCTTCCTTTTTTGTTGGTTCGTACAGGTTAAATGCTACCTGCAGCAACTATTACATGGTTTAGACCATTGTCACAGTCGTGGTGTACTTCATCGGGACATAAAAGGCTCAAACCTTCTGATAGATAATAGTGGTGTTCTAAAGATTGCTGACTTTGGATTAGCTAGTTTCTTTGATCCTCGTCAAACTCAGGCTTTGACCAGTCGCGTGGTAACTCTTTGGTACCGTCCACCTGAGCTTTTGCTAGGAGCAACTCGCTATGGAGCAGCAGTTGATTTGTGGAGTGCAGGTTGCATTCTTGCCGAACTATATGCAGGCAAGCCTATTATGCCTGGTAGAACCGAGGTAGATTTGCATTTTTCGTTTGAATCTCTCTTAGTATTTGCCCTGATTGCTGTGAGACTAGTTTGATTTCTTATGGTGACTTTGATTCCGCCTGTGGTGTTACAGGTGGAACAGTTGCACAAGATTTTCAAGCTATGTGGCTCGCCTACTGAGGATTATTGGGTAAAATCGAGGTTGCCTCATGCAACAATTTTCAAGCCCACACAGCCATATAAACGTATAGTGGGTGAAACATTCAAAGAATTTCCTCAGCCAGCTTTATCCCTTCTTGAAACCCTGCTTTCGGTCAATCCCGATGATCGTGGAACAGCCTCCGCAGCTCTCAAGAGTGAGGTACTGGCAATTTTCGGGCTGTAAATGCTGCGTGTTCTTGTGCTTTTCTATATATAACTCCTAGTCAATGCTGTAAATGCTACTTGTTCTTGTGCTCTGTAACCTCAATTCTCATTCTCTTATTTCCAGTTCTTTTCCACTAGACCCCTTCCATGTGATCCTTCAAGCTTGCCTAAATATCCTCCCAGCAAAGAGCTTGATGCAAGAATGCGGGATGAGGAAAGTAGAAGGTATTACATCCCGACTTTCCTAGTCGAATGTGAATTTTACTTTGCAGTTTTGAATCGTTAACGAAAAAGAAACAATATATTAACTTCAATCTTGCTCCTTTGTGTCTGTAGGCAAGTTGGAGGAAACAGGGACCAAAGACACCAAGAAAGAACAGGAACTAAGGAATCTCGAGCCATCCCAGCCCCTGATGCAAATGCAGAGCTGGCTGCATCAATGCAGGTTAACTTTTTTAGCAAAAGCTTATAATTTCTTCCAATGTTAAAGCTTCTTGCTTTTTATTCAATGTTTTTGACCCTCTCTTGCATTAACGTCCTTGCAGAAAAGGCAGAGCCAGTCTACTAATAGAAGCCGAAGCGAGAAGTTTAATCCTCATCCTGAAGAAGTTGCATCTGGTTTCCCAATTGATCCACCGAGGCCATCATCACAGGCATTTGAACCAAACAGAGAGTCTCAGGGTAACATTATCCCTCACAAGAGAGCTTCACATTCCGGTCCTCTATCACGTAGATCTGCTTCCGCGAAGGGTAGAAGGAACTGCCAAGATTCTCAAAAGGTTTCATCCATAGTTGATTATTCAGCAATGCCTAGTTTTGCTACAACTAGAACAGGCGCACCTCAACAAGAGACTTGCAGAGGAATGACTCGGCTTCCAGGTTCCTTCAAGGAAACCTCTGAAGAAGCAAACCAGGAAGAGAATGGTAGAAGCAACAAGAAAGATCCCATTCTCGTGAGTTCTCTAAACGCCCCTCCTAGCTATTCTTAGAAAATACCAATGTCACTATTTTTGAGTTGTTTTTGGTTTGGTGTGCAGCTGGGTTATGGTTCAAAAGGGCACACGATTCATTATTCAGGACCGTTAGTGGCTCCATCAGGAAACATGGATCAGGTCTTAAAAGACCATGACCGCCATATCCAAGAAGCTGTGAGAAGAGCACGGATCGACAAGGCTCGGGTTAGGAAACTTCAAGCAGATGAAGCATCGAGCCAGCAAGTCCCAACCAACCATCCCTCATCTGTTTCTAGCCGTTGATCCATCAATGAGGCAAAAAGTATATGATCAAAAACCAAACCTCATTTGCCTGAAACTTTTTTAACACGGCGTATTTTGAGTGAAAAAATAATTGTATTTTATTGATTCAAGATTATATATCTATCGTAGTATCAAATCTTGTCACGTTTTAGTCTCCCTGTAATGTGATATTATTTTATCGTAAGCGAGATGTAGAAACAGGTTATATATATCATAAATTTAGAAATTGTTCTAAAAAATCTACTTATTTCTATAATTCTTTCTTGTGAAATAAATAAAGGATCTTGTTGTCTCTCTCTCTCTCTATAGTCTATATATATAGATCTTGTTATCGTCTTTCACTTTCCATATCCAAGAAAAAAACAGAATGCAGACCAAAACACTCTGTTCCATTCCTCTGTTTCTTGCTCTGTTTTTGTCTCACGCCATCTCTTCGTCTGCTTACAGTTTCGACTTCGCTTACTTCGCTAATGGAACTGATCTGATGACATTCTATGGGGACGCCGAGTACGCGCCAGAGACTGATGGTCTGAGCAAGTCAGGGAATATTGGACTGAGCCGTGAGAATATCCCTTTCTCTCATGGTCGAGCCATTTTCATCAACCCCATCCCTTTCAAACCTAATCCTTCTTCTTCTTATGTCTACTCTTTCAAAACTTCTTTCAGTCTCACCATCACTACTCGCCGGGAAAATCCTAATCCCGGTCATGGCCTCGCCTTTATCGTCGTCCCCGACAACAAAAACGTCACCGTTTCCGGTTTAGGCTACCTCAGTCTTGTGAACCGGTTAAACAACGGTAATCCCAATAACCATCTCTTCGCGGTCGAGTTCGACGTCTTTAAAGATAAACATCTTGGCGACATTGATGATAACCATGTTGGAATCAACATTAATTCGGCTAGATCAACGGTTTCTAAGAAAGCCGGTTATTGGATTCAATCAAGAACCGGAGGAAAAGACCGGTGGGTGTTCAAGGCATTGAGGCTAAGTGATGGTGGATGCAGGGCTTGGATCGAGTACGAGAACGGGAAAGTGACAGTCACGATCGGAGTTTCACAGGAGAAACCGAAGAGGCCACTGATGGAAGCGATGGTCGATCTTTCGAAAGTTTTTCACGAGAAAATGTACATGGGTTTTGCTGGTTCAATGGGACGTGGCGCCGAGCGTCACGAGATCGTCGACTGGAATTTTCAGAACAGTGCCAAAAACTAAATACTGTAGGTCGAAGGTTTTTTTTTTTTTTTTTTTTTTTTTTTTTTTTTTTTTTATGTAGGTCGAAGTTGTTATTAAAGCTTCGTTATATGTCGTGAATCTTGTGATCCATCCATCAAGCTAGTGATAGTTGAAGCTAATAAATGCATAAGTTATTATGACCTAACGTGACACTGCCATGTATCTATCTACTTTCAGATTTTCTAGAAAGATATTTGCAATAAAGGATCCTGTTCCCTAAATATATGTATTAGATATAGTAACCTTCTATTACACGGTATGTATTGTTTACAACCAAGAAGCATTAGTTATTAAGCTTGACACATGCCAGAAATTATTCAGCCAACCAAGACCTATCGATGTCACGTCCCCTCCACGAAACACACGCAAAAACCGATCCTTTACTATCCGACAACTAGGCTAGGCCCAAACAAACCCAACTATCCTAAATCTGTCATGTGTCCAGTAACACTTATCATTTGAAACATGTATTCTCGCAACACAATACAACATGACTGAAACTTGGTCTTGGAACCAATTCACAAAATGGAAACAGCCATATCTTGATACCTCTTCCTCACCATTACCAAGTCGGGTTGAAGCCTCTTTCGCCTTATTTGGCTCTCATCCCGAAAGTCTGAAGAGTACACTATAATGGAACCACTAGACTAAATGATTATCGGCCGCAAGCCAATGCTTTTTCATCAGCTTGGGGGTAAGGGTCGGCTCTGGTTGTATGAAAGAACTCTCCTTATATATCTGATTCCCAAAGACCGGTTGCAACCATGCTATTATTCCAATAAGTTATTTAGTAAATTTTGCACTTCACAATAACTAATCCCTAGTGTGGACATACATGACAATTTCTCTTAAGATGAAAACCATTAGACATTTAGATAGATGTAGTATTTATAGAGAGATTTTCATATGGTTTAATCACACTCTTACACATATAGTTTAAGAAGCCAATAGTTGAACAACAACAACAACAAAAAAGTTTAAGAAGACGATCAAGATTTATTTATTTTAATCATTAAATAAAGAAAATATTGGTCACTCCGAAAAAACTGGTTTTGGTATAACTATATGAACTAAGAGCATGTCAAATGCTTATATCTTAAGTTATTTCTTAATAATAATAGATAGAGCAAAAATTAAATCATTAATGATAATTTAGGTAAGATATGTATCTTAGTTAAGAAATTTTGTGGATGTATCTTAGTGCCACTTGTTTACTTGTGATTGGTTTGAGTTAAAAAAAACTCATTTGTACTATGTCTTTTGATTATGTTTTTATTTAAATATGATTTAGTTGAGAATATTTGGCAACAATTAAAATATGATTTGTACTATGTGTTTTTATTATGTTTTTATTGATTGAAATCTGATTTAATTGAGAGTATTTGGCAATAATTAAAATATGATTTGTACTATGTGTTTTTATAGTAAGTGTGTTACAAATTAATAATTTTTCATGTTTTATAAAATTTTAGTTTTCAATTTTTTTTTTTAAGAACTCTAATTAAGAGTTTTACTATTAGAGCTGGATAATTTTAATTATCTTCAAAAAGTTTTTATTTTCAAAAAGTAAGCAATTTTTAACTAAAAAATTTACTAAGAAATTATAATAAGATACGAGGTTACTACTTAATTGTAATTATAAATGTGAATAGCGATAAAGAAAGCGACGGACTAACCTCATTGCATACTATTACAAGTCAATTTTTTTTTGTCATTCATGTCTTGATTCAATTAGTATAGTGGAGAGAATTATTATAACAAAATTGTTTCTTTCTCCTCATTTGGCCACCACTCATAAAGTTCTCATTTGCAGCATCGTGGCCACAGAAAAAGAAGAAAATGGAAGAAACGTTTTCGTGCATTTTCAGAAATAGAATTTGTCATCTACTGCCATAATTCAAATTCCTAGTCATCTTTTTTCTCAATGTCCATTATTTTTAGACAAATCCAAAGAAAGACTTCTCGATCTTTTCACCCATCACCTTTGTCTTTTATAAAGTTCATCACTTTCACTTCTCACTTTCCTAAAAAACAGAGCAAAAAAGAGAGATGAAGAGCCAAATACTCTGTTTCACCACTCTGTTCATAGCTATCTTCACCTCTCAAACCACCACCAATGCTTACAACTTCAAATTCGCATCCTTTGGTGGTAACGGCACCAATCTAATATCATTCCACGGAGACGCTGAGTATGGTCCTGACCACTCCGGAGCCATCGCACTGACCCGAGACAACGTCCCCTTCTCTCACGGCCGAGCTATTCTCAACACTCCAATCACTTTCAAGTCTAACGCTACAGCTCTTTACCCTTTCAAAACCTCTTTCACTTTCTCCATTACTCCTAAGACAAACCCTGCTCAAGGCCACGGCCTCGCCTTCGTCGTCGTACCGGCAAACCAACACGACGGTTCCGGTTTAGGATACCTCAGTCTTGTGAACCGGACCAGCAACGGTAATCCTAATAACCACCTCTTTGCTGTCGAGTTCGATGTCTTTCAGGACAAAAACCTCGGTGACATGAACGATAACCATGTCGGAGTCGACATTAACTCGGTTGATTCGGTGGCTTCTGTCAAATCCGGTTACTGGGTTATGACAAGAAACGGTTGGTTGTTCAAAGATTTGAAGCTGAGTAGTGGAGATAGATACAGGGCTTGGATTGAGTACAGCAACAACCACAAAATCATCTCCGTCACCGTTGGTTTGGCGCATTTGAAGAAACCGAACCGGCCTTTGATTGAAGCAAAATTCGATCTTTCCAATGTAGTTCACGACCAAATGTATACCGGTTTTGCCGGTTCGATGGGCCGTGGTGTCCAGCGTCACGAGATCTGGGACTGGACTTTCCAGAACTGAACAATACCGGTTCGGTTTGGTTCGAGATCATCGGTTTTGTTTCTGGTTTTCTATATGTCGTGACTTCAGGCTTTGTATTGAAGTGGAAATAAATGCTCAGTTTTATGGCTTACCGACATTGTGATGAATTATTGTTGTCAGAATACTAAAAACCAAGGACGTTTAATACCTGAATTGGTAGTATATATCCTAAGTTTTTTTTTTTATGTTAGGCATTAATAGTTTTAACTAACAATTTCGCATTGTAAGACTAACTAAGTGGATCTTGGATAGTGTTTAGTTATCCAAGATCCAAAAACGTAAAGCAAACAAACGAACTCGGTATGTAACATTTCGGTCAGACTCAAACCACACTACGTAGTACGACTTGGAATTGAACAAGGCTAATGGTATATCATCCATTTAACAAAGCTTGCATATCTTGTAACTCCTAACTCCATGTGGGAGATGCATGCAGGGTGGTAGTTATTAGGCTATTTCTTCATATGTCAAAAAAATGTGATTGTGTGTTGGGAGAACAACACACCCTGCCCTCTTCATTCACCAAACCAAGAAAGATGTGATTCATCGTTCAGTCATATTGCTCTCCAAGAATACACCTTGTGTCCGTCACTCCATGTCTCCTCCACAGTGTACACTCAACTCCACCAGCTCGCACCATCCACCACTCATCAGTCATCTCCCAGTCCATTTAGACATTACATACCAATTTAATTTGCCAAAAATATATTTTAGTTATTGTGGGAGCTAAAATCCACTTGATGGAGTATACGAGGAAGGGAACTAAATGGGGTCCTATTCTCCGTTGTCGAATTCAGACTGAATACAAAACGAACTATACGATTAATCGGAATATAGGAAGTGAAATTGCTATTCTTTTGCCAAAACTTGTGTCCCTTTTACAAATAACTTTTCTTCCTACAAGAATATAGAATCACTCGTATTAAAGGACGCGCGATCTTAGCCCCAAGAATCACGCGACTCTCATTACGCCGTTGTTTGTTCTCATCTTAAATGCTCACTTCTTGTCCGAACTTGCTTCTCTTTCCGACTATTGGGCCTGAGCTTCTTATTGAACCCTCAGAACTGGACCTGGCGAACGGCGAACTAAGCCCAAATCTGGTCCGAAATGCTAATTTTGGTACCAACAGTTATGCATATTCCATATGTTATGTGAATTCTCAATTCTATTTTTTTTTCTTTTCTTTTTTTAAAACTGGCGTGGCATCTTTTATAGTGCATTGGTGCTTATCAGATGAAGAAACTAAAAATAAAATAATGAGTCTTTTCTTGTCTTCCGTTGGCGTTGGAGGCTTGGATATCAAAATTGACCACTATATGTTTGAAAAGTCAAAGGGGATGGCTGTTTCCACCCCATATATAATACACAACCTTCCCGTACCATAATATAACAAAATCAAAACAAAGTACACAAACTCATAATGAAAATCCAAAAATTATGTTTCGTTGCTCTCTTCATAGCTTTGTTAAGCTCTGAAACCATTTCCGCCTTCAAATTCAACTTCAACCATTTCGACGGGACAAATCTAATCTTCATCGGATACGCTGAGTTAGGACCAGCAACCGATGGCATGAGCCGGTCCGGAGCTCTCTCCATGACCCGTGACGATATTCCATTCTCACATGGTCAAGGTCTTTACACGGATCCAATCCCATTCAAACCATCCAACAACAACACTTCTTCTTCTTCTTCTTCTGTTTACGCTTTCAAAACATCTTTCACTTTTTCCATCACTCCTCGCCGGTCAAACCGTAACCCCGGTCATGGTCTAGCCTTTATCGTTGTCCCAACCGTAAACTACGACAAAGACTCAACCCGTGGCTTCCTCGGTCTAGTTAACCGCACGACCAATGGCAATCCTAATAACCATCTATTTGCCGTCGAATTTGATGTGTTCCAAGACAAACGTTTTGGCGACATTAATGATAATCATGTTGGTATTAATATTAACTCTGTTATCTCAATGGTTTCTGAGAAAGCTGGCTATTGGGTTCAGACAAGAACCGGAGGGAAGAATCAATGGTCGTTTAAGGAAGTGAAGCTCAGTAGTGGAGATAACTACAAGGCTTGGATCGAGTACAAGAACAGTAAAGTCACTGTTACGCTTGCACCTGCGCATCTAAAGAAACCAAAGAGGCCATTGATCGAAACACAAGTTGATCTCTCGGAGGTGGTTCTTGAGACAATGTATACTGGTTTTGCCGGTTCGATGGGTCGTGGCATCGAGCGTCACGACATTTGGACCTGGAGTTTTGAGAATACCGCCAAAATCGAATAATTTGTTTTGTTTTTGTGTTTTTTGGTCAAGTTTGATTTGATTTATGTTTTGCTTTGTTATCTTTGTCACCGGTTTAACATTATATCTATTTTCTACTGTATTTATTCAAAGTGGTTTGGTGTATTTACAAAATAATATTGAATTTATGCACTTTTATCGATTTAAACTAAAATTTAGTAATTTTCATTCAAGTCCATAAGATATCAATTATTATGACCGGTTCAATTTGGTGAACCAGTTCGATCTAGTCTAACATAAAATTAAGTGGCTAGTGGTGATGGTTGAACCATTCACTTCTCTTTTTAGCCATAGTTGTAGATTTGTAGTGATGAAACCCGAAGTTGGTATGCAATGCATCAATTGTTATTGTTTATTAATTAGAAGAAAAGAAATATATGTCACAAGGCTTATAAAGTTAAACTATAATATTCAACATTTGTTGTAAAACTAAAATTTAAGTTTTAATAATGAAAGGAAATAAATATAACTTATCATTGTTGCTTGGTTGTATCATTTTTTATTCATTTTTCCATGATATATTATTTAAAGTAACACAGATATTTCTACTCACTGAAAGCAATATTGAAAATCAAAGTTACGAAAATATATAAATCACAAGAAAAAGACGATTATAAAATTACAGAAAACACAATGATCTTTCTATAACTTACCATTAGGAGAAAATATATTGCTTTTTTGTGAACGAGAAAATATAT